GCTGAGGTTCCACCGAGATTTGAACTCGGATCGCTGGATTCAAAGTCCAGAGTGCTAACCATTACACCATGGAACCCATAGAAACCAATACGTACTAAGGAAAAAGAAGTGTGACTGAGTATCCACAGAGATTTCAACTCAGATCACTGGATTCAAAGTCCAGAGTGCTAAGAATTACACCATGGAACCACATTTTGTGACTGTCTGCTTACAAAAAAGCAAACAGAAACGCTGGACATTAGGACCTTATATATTTTTTCGGTTTTTATTGAGAGGTCCAACTGTCTTGCAAGGTGAGAGCTGTCATCTAAAGTAGATATAGGTTCCACCGAGATTTGAACTGAGAAATATTTTCTTGTTACAATTCAGGGTTCCACTTTTCAGCAGAGAAGTGAGACTGAGGTTCCACCGAGATTTGAACTGGGACATTTATTCAAGTTACAGTTCTGGGATCCAGCTTTCTGGTTAAGGTAGGCAAATGAAAGTGAGGATCCACCGAGATCTGATCTCGGATCACTGGATTCAGAGTCCAGAGTAGTAACCATATCACCATGGAACCGCATTTCAGGAGTGTTTTATTATAAAAAAGAAACACAAACGCTGGACTTAATATTGTTTTCCAATTGTGATTAAGGGGTCCAACTGTCTTGCAAAGTGAGAACTGTCATCAAAGGTAGATTTAGGTTCCACCAAGATTTGAACTCAGAAATGTTTTCTAGATACAATTCAGGGGTCCAGCTTTCTTAAAGGTCGACAATTGAATCTGAGGTGATCCAGAGTGCTAACTATTACACCATTGAACCATATAGAAAACAGGTTTTACTCAGGACAATGAAGTGAGACTGAGGTTCCACTGAGATTCTAACTCTGACATTTATTCAACTTACTGCTTGACTCTGTATCAAAAGATGACTGTTTTATGAAAAATTATACACAAAGAAAACCAGGCGAGGAAAGTTCCCCAAAATGACCCATGTGCATAGACGGTTAAGGTAGGGAAATGAAATTGAGGTTCCACCGAGATTTGAAGTCGGATCGCTGGATTCAGAGTCCAGAGTGCTAACCATTACACCATGGAACCACATTTTAAGAGTGTTTTATTATAAAAAAGAAACACAAACGCTGGACTTAATATTGTTTTCCAGTAGTGATCCAACTGTCTTGCAAAGTGAGAATTGTCGTCAAAGGTAGATTTAGGTTCCACCAAGACTTGAACTCAGAAATATTTTCTAGATACAATTCAGGGGTCCAGCTTTCTTAAAGGTGGACAATTGAATCTGAGGTGATCCAGAGTGCTAACTATTACACCATGGAACCACATTTTGTGCCTGCTTACTTACAAAAGAGAAACACAAACGCTGGACCTAATATTGTTTACCAGTTGTGATTAAGGGGTCCAACTGTCTTTTAAAGTGAGAGTTTGTGATCAAATGTAGGTTTAAGTTCCACCGAGATTTGAACTCAGAAATGTTTTCTAGTTACAATTCAGGGGTAAAGCTATCTTAAAGATTGACAATTGAGATTGAGGTTCCACCGATATTAGAACTCGGATCGCTGGATTCAGAGTCCAGAGTGCTAATTAATAGTTACCTAATGTAACTACGTTACGTTCGTAAGTTCTACGAATAGGTGCGTAGTCCCTTAGGACTTCGCTAGTGGGATATCACTCGTGACCCCCAGGTCACACGCCAGAGAGATCAAAATAATTTGCTCCAATCACCAGCCACCCTCCTCTATAAATGCCCCTGCACAAGGCCGCACCCCCTCTTGAACTCTGCCAAGCAGGGCTGGCCTGATGGGCTCGTAGCTAAGGGACTACGCACCTATTCGTAGAACTTAAGTTACATTAGGTAACTATTAATTCTACGTCATGGTGCTACGTCCCTTAGGACTTCGCTAGTGGGACACAACGCGGAGGCCGTAGGAACATGTACTCCCAGCAGGCCAGCGAAGGGTGATTGGAGCTCCGCCCGAGCAAGATCCTCACACAGTGAGAGGACTCAGGGCAGAAGAAACAATGCGTGTTACAGGGCCACTCCTACCAAGGATACCCCCACGTAACACAGACCGTAGGTCATCCGTAGTCACAGGACGCCTCTCCCAAGAGCTCCTGACGTGGACTACCTGACCGACCAAACACACATATATGTACCGCACCTGTAGGATGCCTCTCCCAAGAGCTCCTGAACCAGGGCGGAAAGTAAACCGAAGGCCCCCTCAGAGGAGGGACCTAAATGGTCTAACTCAGTCCGCTGCACTCAGCACGGAATGGGCCACCAACCGGTCCGACACATCCAAAAGATAAGACCGGACGAAAGAGGAGGACGACGCCCAAGAAGCCGCACGGCAGACGTCCTCGACCGACGCCCTCGACCAACGCCCCCCTGAGAAGGGCCGTAGAGGCCGCCATCCCACGCGTGGAATGCGACCTGAAGCCCACCGGGGGGGCCAGACCCTGCGTCTGATACGCCCGCCGCACAGCCGTGGCGACCCAGTGCGCCAGCCGCTGAGCCGACAGCGGGGCGCCCCTGTTTTTGGGGCCCAGACACACAAACAGCTGACCACCCAACCTGAATGACGACGTCATGGCCAGGTAATGCCTCAGCATTCTGACAGGACACAGAAGGTGCCGCCGCTCCTCCTCGGGGGAAGCATGCGGTGGCGGATAGAAAGCCCTAATCCTGATGACTCTCGACCTAAAGGCCGACGTGATGACCTTGGGGAGAAAAGCCGGATTGGGCCACAATTCCACCATGCCGTCGCCCTCTCCAAAGGACAGGCAAGACGCATGGACAGAGAGCGCACACAAGTCGCCCGCCCTCTTAGCAGACGCCAACGCCAACAGGAGGGCCGTCTTAAAAGCGACACACTCGGGACTCACCTCCGCCGCCGGTTCAAAAGGCGGACCCGACAGCCCCCTAAGGACCACCCTGAGGTCCCAAACCGGGGGCATTCTCTGGAGCGGGGGCCTCCTCCTGCGCGCCCCCCGCAGAAAACGTTTAACCAACGGATGAGAGCGGGCTGTGAACCCCCCGAATCCGTCGTGACCCGAAGTAATGGCTGCCGCGAACACCGCCAAGGTGGCGACAGCCCTCCCCTTGTCAAAGAGCTCCTGTAGGAATCCCAGGACCCCCTCCAGCGGGCAACGCCTGGGATCCCAGGAACGGGAACCGCACCAGTCGCTGAAGAGCCTCCACCTCGTGGCGTAGGCCCTCACAGTGGACGGCGCCCTCGCCCCCTGAATGGTCTCCACCACCGCAGGGGGAAGACCCAGGTCTACGAGGTTCCGCCTTTCAGCCTCCAAACCCAGAGCCTGCGGCCGATTATCGGGCGTGAAAACAGGGCTCCTCCCCCCTGGACGAGAGCCCCCGGCTCGTCCGGGAGGGCCCAGGGCTCCATCACCGCCATGCCCCTCAGGAAGGGGAACCACCGGGCATGCGGACTGTCCGGAGCCACCAGGATCACCGACCTCCTCTCCTGTTCGATCCTCCGCAGCAGGACCGGCAGGAGACGCACTGGTGGGAAAGCGTACAGCAGGCCCTCTGGCCAGGGGTAATGAGCCAGAGCGTCCACGCCTAAGGGCGGCTCGTCCGCGGCCCTTAAGGCGAACCAGGACGGGCACTGTGCGTTTTCTGCACTGGCGAAAAGGTCGACCACTGGACGGCCGAACCTCCGCCAGATCTCCGCAGCCACCCGTGGGGCCATGCCCCACTCGTCCTGGAGTGGGCCCCCCCTGGACATCCTGTCGGCCCCCACGTTCCGGACCCCCGGGACGTGGCGCGCCCTGAGAGACAGGAGGTGAAGTGCCGCCCACAGCAGCGTCACCGTCGCCATGCGATGGAGAGCGGGGGACCTGGTGCCCCCCTGCCTGTTCAGATAGGAGACCACTGTGGTGTTGTCTGAGCGCACCATCACGTGTCTCCCCCGCAGCTGAGGAGCAAAGTGCAGCAGTACCCTGTGCACTGCCTCCATCTCCAGCAGGTTGATGTGACGGGCTGAGTCCGACCAGCAGCCTCCTACAGAGCTCTGGCCGAGGACCCCGCCCCATCCTTCGAGCGACGCGTCTGTGAACACCTCCACGTGAGACACGGCGCAGGCCAGAGTCACTCCGTCCCGCAATAGACCCGGAGTGAGCCAGAACCTGATGTCCGATGCTGCCACTTGAGGAACCGAGATCAGCCTCCCCCCGTCCCGGGAGGGGTGAAGCCTGAGGCGCGAGAACCACCTCTGAAAATTCCTCATGTGGAGAAGGCCTAGCCGCACCACAGCATGAGCCGCCGCCATCATTCCCAGCAGGGACCTGAGGCGCCGAGCGGGGACTCTGGGGCCCGCCAGAACCTCCCTGGCCAGACGGGTAATGTTCATCCGTCTGTCCACGGACAATGCAGCACGGAATGTCACAGAGACTAACTGCAGACCGAGATAAATCATGCGTTGAGCTGGCTGCAGCTTGCTTTTCTCCCTGTTCACCACAAAGCCCAGACGCTGTATGTGGGACAGGACCCAGTGCGTGTGGCTCACGGCCACTTCCCTGGATGAGGCCAGAATTAACCAGTCGTCTATGTAGGTTAAAATTCTTACCCCTGCGCGCCTGAGCGGCTCCAGTGCTGCCTCCACGCATTTGGAAAAAGTCCGAGGCGTGAGTGCGTAGCCGAAGGGGAGACGGCAGTACTCGTAATTCCTCTCTCCCACTGCGAAGCGCAGAAACCTCCTGTGTTCCGGCACTATCGGCACGTGGAAGTAAGCATCTGTCAGGTCTATGGAGGACATCCAATCTCCATGCCTGACACACTCGAGGAGCTGCTTTGTGGACAGCATCCGAAACTGCCGTTTGGAAATGCACTCGTTCAACACGCGCAGATCCAAAATGGGACGCACCCCGCCTGACTTCTTTGGCACTAAGAAGTAAGGGGAGTACAGCCCCCTGGTGGCGTCCTGCGGGTCTACCTCCACTGCCGCGCCTCGACTCAGCAGAGAGGACACCTCCGCTTGCAGTGCCTCTAATGATCCCCGTACATGAGAGCGTACTGCCCGTACGCCTCGGAATGGTGGTGGCTTTTAGGAAGAATTGCAGTGCGTAACCCCTGCGCAATGTTTTCTCCAGCCATAGATCTGTCAGCAAACCTTGCTCCCTCCAGATGCAGTAGAAGTCTGTGAGGGGCGGAACGGGAGCTGGAACACGAGACGTCACGGCCCCGCCCTTTCCTGGTGTTCCTAGCAGGGAGGGGGGGTGGACGAAAGGGCCGGGGGGCCCCCTGCGTCACACCGTGAGCGCCGGGGGCGGTCACGTGTCCTACAGGCCCGACCTCATAAGTACGGGACTGCTCATCACACGTGACTTGGCTGCTGTGCCCCCCCCTGGCTCTTGCCTCATGGAGGGGGGGGGCGAGCCCTGGTGTGTGTCGTCTCTGTCTGGCGCACACCGGGGTAGTCTTGCACAGTTTTTCCAATGTGGTTTTACTGCAAATGGCAAATAAATGAATCTGATCTGATCTGGAGTGGGAAACCCCATGTTAGCCTTGTAGCTCAGAGATGCTAACACGCGTTCGGCCGAAGCACACACACCACTACTCACCAGATCCCTCCGCCTGACCTCTCTCTGGGAGGGCATAGCATGAACCAGTGAACCGGAGCTCGTAGCTCGCGTAGCGCACTGCACTCCCTGCTCTGGGGGCTGCAGGCCTAGCGAAGCAATGTTATGTGCTCGAGAAGTAACACAATCAGAATTCACAAGATTATTTGACATGTTACATACCCCCAAATGAGACTCAGACAGCGAGTAATGATGAAATGCCGGTCGGCCTTTATTGAAAGAATTCTTCCCACCCCGACCTCCTCTGCCATAGGGAGGTCGGCGGTGGGTGCGTTGGTCCCGCGAGCCTCCCGTGGGTCTGTCAGGACCCGGGGGCCTCGTCGAGGGGGGACGATAGGCCACGGAGTGTGGATATGGGTCAGGGCGCCTCCCGGGCGAACGCTCCCTGCCTCTGTCCCGGCTCCGCGCTGGTGGGCGGGCCTCGCGCCTCGGCGCTAGGTGCTGGGCTAGGCTAGCCGAGTCCTTGGCTGCGGTCTCCAGTCTAGCCACCAGGGTCTGCATGTCCGGACCGAAGAGGGACGTCTGGGAAACAGGCAGGTCCAGCAGCTGCCTCTTCTCCGCCTCTCTGATGTTAGCAAGCCCAAGCCAAAGGGAAGGAGAGGTCTGGTGCCGGGCCACACGGATGCGGAGGGGTGCAGGGCCATGCGGACCGAATCCTCGATGTCCGGGACCCCGCCGGTCCAGGACCAGTCCTGCACGCTGCAGTACATGCCGTAGCCCAAAGCGGGCCTCTTGGCCGCTAGGGGCTTTGGCCTCTCACGTTTCGCGTAATGGACGATCGGGTCCATCCGCGGGCACAACGTGGGCTGTGTCCTCCTCCTCCCTCGAGCGGTGGCGTAACCAGAGGTGAAGTCCTCCACCCTCTGGGTCGCCTGCGGTGGCAGGGGGGCATCCATGATGGCCGCCGCAGAGGAGTAGAGCCCAGGCATGTGGTTCAGTGGGAAGCGGTCCGGCTCCGGGTTCGACACCACCTCGTCCAGCGTGAGAAGAGAGCCGACCTCCGAAACCTCTCCGTCCTCACAGTCACCCCATTCCGCGGGCACGGGTGGAAGGTCGAGTGGGGCCCAGTCAGTCTCAGACTCCTCGTCCTGAGAGGAGTCCGGACGGGGCGCTGCAGCGGCGAGGTACGCACGCCTGCGTTCGCTCTCCTCCCTGGGGAGAGCGAGACACGAGGTGCAGGTGGCGCTCAACGCCGCATGGCCCGGGCCCAGGCACATGAAGCAGCTGGAGTGCTGGTCCGTGCGCTGAAGCCTGACTCGACACGTCGAGCAACGACGACGTCCGACGCCGGAGGGCGAAGGGGAACTCGGACGAGCATCAGAAGACATCTTTTCTCTGATGCGGATTTCTGGACCCAGATCTTTGAAAACATCTACTTCATGTCCCGAAATGCAAACATCCAATTAAGCCAATATAAAATTATTCACAGATTCCACTACACGGGTGAAAAGTTACACAAAATGGGTTGCACATCAAACATATGCACACAATGCTCACAGAACGCACCAGATACATACCTGCACGCACTCTGGGCCTGTTCACCTGTTAGGACACTCTGGGATAACATTGAAACCACTCTCCCCTCCATCCTTGGCCGCCACATCCCATTATCACCAGCTCTCTGTCTGCTAGGAGACACAACTGCATTGAACCTCACACTCCCACAAACCCGCCTTCTGCTTATCGCCCTCACAATCGCCAAGAAGACAATCCTCATAAACTGGAAGACAAAAAAAACCATACACATTGCCCACTGGAAGAACCTACTCACAGAATTCATATCATCTGAACTTTCTTCAACAACAAATACACATGATCATCTCAGCAAAAACCTCTCCTGGCTAACCCTGATAGAAAGCATCACTTAAAAAAAAAACAAAAAAAAAAAACATCTTAACCACCTCACATACCACTCCACATAGACCTCTCCTTCTTCGTCTCACTTCATCCTCTCATCTCTCCGTATACAGTATACATTTGATATAGTAAAACAGTATACATATGATAAAATAATACAGTAGGAATAGGATATAATAATAAAGTATGGTATGATGGTGATAAAGTATAATATTGTATAATAGTATAACATTGTAATACATTCAACATATATAAGCTAAAACTAAAACTAACATTCAAACCCTATGGGTTCAATCCGACTGTTTCCAACACTTTTTGCAACACTATTCAATAAATAGATAATACTCTTACACAACCCAGACGATAGTGGGGTGTCTGTTCTAGACTAGTCTGGCACAAAAGCCCCTCTATCTCTTTTAATGCAACACACACATGACACACAGAAAAAAACACCAAAAACAAACAAATGCACCATAACAGATGGATAAGAGGAGTGTATGATATGTATATGTATATATATATATGTATGTATAATAATATAATAACATTCAATTCAATTAGATCACATCTATAAAAAATAAATACATTTAAAAACACATTAAATCCAAACAAGCTTATTTATTGTTGTTAACATATTGTTATTAATTTTATTATTGCGGATGTTATACTTTATTTCTATTATCACCATCATCATCTTTATTATAATCATTATCAATGTTATTATGCAACAATCGTATATCATTATTCATTATTAATATATATTTAAATGTTATATATATATTTATATGTATATGTTTAAATTTACTATTATATGTTTATAATTATTGTTTGTGTGAATGTATGTATATATGCATGAATATATATGTGTCTGTATGTATGTGTAGATATACACTTTGTCTTTCCTTCTCCCCCTCTTCTGTACATAGGAAAAGATTTCTGTAATTCCACATTCACTCTCATGCACACACATGCACACACTCACTCACACACACACACACACACACACACACATGTGCGTGCGTGCAACGATTGCTTTTTCTTTCTTGTTGGTCTCACTGTCCTCTCTCCCCTCTTTGTATAGATTCTCCTCTTACGTTGTAAATATCACTGAAACTGATCACCTATGTTGTCTTTGTTGTCTGTGTTTGCTTCTTGTTTGTCGTATTGTATGTATTGTATTGTATGTTTTGTATGTCTATTCTCAACAATAAATAAAAAAAAAAAAAGAAGACATCTTTTCTCTGGAAGTAAGTACTGGTAGATCTCAATCGGCGCCAGAGTGAAAGAGGGGGTGTGGCCTTGTGCAGGGGCATTTATAGAGGAGGGTGGCTGGTGATTGGAGCAAATTATTTTGATCTCTCTGGCGTGTGACCTGGGGGTCACGAGTGATATCCCACTAGCGAAGTCCTAAGGGACGTAGCACCATGACGTAGAACCATTACACCATAGAACCACATTTTGTGACTCTTTACCTACAAAAAAGAAACACAAACGCTGGAACATATATTTTTTTCCAGTTGTGAATGAGGGACGTTTGGACCGGGAGGAGGCCCCGGGAAGACCCAGGACACGCTGGAGGGACTATGTCTCTCAGCTGGCCTGGGAACGCCTTGGAGTCCCCCCGGACGAGCTGGAGGAAGTGTGTGTTGATAGGGAAGTCTGGCCGTCTCTGCTTAAACTGCTGCCCCGCGACCCGGCAACGGATGAAGCGGAAGAAAATGGATGGATGGATGGATGGATGAATGAGGGTTCCAACTGTCTTTCAAAGTGAGAGCTGTCATCAAAGGTAGATTTAGGTTCCACCAAGATTTGAACTCAGATATCTGTTTGTTTTTTTGTTTTTTTACAATATTTTTATTGCGTTTTTAAACATAATCCCTACATTAACACTAACGGACATATAGAAAAAATAACTAAAACAAAACCAAAGAACACCAAGCAAACCCAATTTAGGTTCCACCGAGATTTGAACTCAGATATACTTTCTGGTTACAATTCAGGGTTCCAGCTTTCAGCAAAGAAGTGAGACTGAGGTTCCACCGAGATTTGAACTCTGAAATGTTTTCTAGTTACAATTCAAGGGTACAGCTTTCATAACGTTTGACACTTGAGGCTAAGATTTCACCGAGATATGAACTGAGATCGCTGGATTGATCCAGAGTGCTAACCATTACACCTTGGAACCCATAAAAACCAGGATGTACTAAGGAAAAAGAAGGGAGACTGAGGTTCCACCGAGATTTCTACTCGGATCCCGGGATTTAAAGTCCAGAGTGCAAAGAATTACACCACGGAACCACATTTTGTGACTTTCTGCTTACAAAAAAAGAAACACAAACGCTGGACCTAATATTGTTTTCCAGTTTTTAATAATAATAATAATAATAACTTCATTTATAGAGCATTTTAAAAACAACACAGTTGACCAAAGTGCTGAACACAAGTAAAAACACAATATAATATAGAAACATATACAAGAATACAAATTGCACAGAGAGTCAACCCACTGAGTTAAAAGCCAAAGTAAAAAGATGAGTCTTAAGAAGCGACTTAAAAACAGGAAGTGAGTCCACCAGTCTAATATGCAGAGGCAGACCATTCCACAGTCTGGGAGCTGCTGCTGCAAAAGCCCGATCCCCTCTCGACTTCTTTCTGGTCTTAGGGACCACTAAGAGAGCCTGGTCTGCTGATCTTAGAGCCCGTGACGGAGTGTGGGGCACAAGCAGATCAGTCAGATACTGAGGGGCCAATCCACGCAAACATTTGAACACAAATAACAGAATCTTAAAATCAATACGAAGGTGCACAGGGAGCCAGTGAAGAGAACAAAGAATAGGGGTGATGTGGTCAAATTTGCGCGTTCCAGTTAAGAGTCTGGCAGCAGCATTTTGGATTAATTGAAGGCGTGAAAGTGAGGTTTTACTGAGTCCGGTAAAGAGGGAATTGCAGTAATCTAAACGAGAGGTAATAAAAGCATGGATTAAAATTTCAAAGTTATGACTAGATAAAAACGATTTGACTTTGGCAAGTCGCCTCAGTTGAAAAAAGCTGGTCTTCACAACAGCACTGATTTGGGGATCCAGTTTTAAAGAGGAGTCCATTTTTACTCCAAGATTTGTCCCTACTGGGCTCACAGCCTGGGCCAGGGGGGCAAGCTCAGCAGGAACAGCTGCTGCAGTGTCCGTGGATGAGAGAGATTATTGAGGGGTCCAACTGTCTTGCTGAGTGAGAGCTGTCATCAAAGGTAGATTTCGGTTCCAACGAGTTTTGAACTCATATTCATTTTCTAGTTACAATTAAGGGTTCCAGCTTTCAGCAGAGCAGTGAGTCTGAGGTTCCATCGAGATTTGAACTGGGACATTTATTCAAGTTACTGTTCAGGGATCCAGTTTTCTGGTTAAGGTACTGTAGGCAAATGAAAGTGAGGTTCCACCGAGATTTGAACTCGGAGGGCTTACCATTACACCACGGAACCACGTTTGATTGTCTACTTACAAAAAAAGAAACACAAACGCTGGATGTTTGGACCTAATATTGTTTTCCAGTTGTGATTAAGGAAAAAATATAACAGACATTTTGATTATAAAACGGAAACATAATATTGTCTAACCCAAAGTAGGTGGCGGACACTCTCATTGGATACACATTTTTGGTCTTATCCAAATGTAAACAAAGCAGCATTATTATAACAGGAAATGTTTATCTCTGCATATCTGAGCTTGAGCCACTCATTACTCAGAGAAAAACAAACTTTTAAATAAAATAACAAATCTTAAAGAGGTTGTTTCCAGCTCCTTAATAATTTGACAGAGACTTTATTTCATTAGGATATGTTCACACTTGGTTCTCTTTAACGCTAGAACTCCCAGAGCAGTCAATTTGACGGATTTTAATTTTGGAAGTGTGATTTCTCAATTTATGTATGTTTTCAATCTTCCTGACCTTGGGACTTTTTCTGTCTCACATGTAGTATATAACTATGTGGCCATACTTACCTACTAGATACCGTCAGGCCACTAAAGCTAGCAGGGCAGGGCCTGATTAGTGCTGGGTTGGGAGACCTCCGGGAACACCAGGTACCAGTGGGGCGCCTGTGGCTGTAAAGTGCAAAGCTGTTGTTGTGTCCTTAGGCAAGACACTTCACCCACAATGTCTAGAATGAGTCTAGTGTGCGTGTTTGTGTGAATTGCTGGTGGTGGTTGAAAGGGTCGAAGACATATACTGGTTGCCTCACTTCTGCCGGTAAGCCCCAGGGCAGTGTAGTTTATCACCACTAAGAATAATGACTGAGCTGCGTCTTTAAGTGTCCTTAAAATCTCTACACAATACTAACGCATTATTATTCTCTTGTCATGTGATTTTTTAAATTTTAAGTAGTTCTACTTGTGTAAAAATCAAGTGAAGCCATTTTTGGTCTGGGTCTGATCCTCGACTGTTTCTGAGCCGAGTTAGCTGAGAAGCAGAGAAGAGCAAGAGCTTGTTACCATAGCGACACATTGTTTAGTGTCAGCAGTAGCCTTTCACCACTTAATAAAAGTGACTGAAAGATAAAACCTGGTGAGAAACTAAATGTTTTGGGAATGGTTCAGAATTCCATTTGTTGGAATGGGAGCCTTCAAAATAACCACTCTGGGAGTTCTGGTGTTAACAGGACCAAATTATCAGTTTCAAATTTTCACATGTCAAATAATCTTACATTCCTAAATAATCTTACATTCCTAAATAAACACCTAAATAAACACCTAAATAAAACTATTTGATCATGTCAAATAGCATCACCAATAAAAGAGCATAATTCCAGCAGGAAAAGACATAGCTCGGAAATGACTGAATGAAAACAGCTGCAGATGGAAAACAGTAAACTTTGGAGTTGATGTTAAGCGTTTAAAATTAAAACAATGTAAATATAGCCGGAGTTGAGGGGAAAGGCTGGGGCAGAGGGCAGGGGGATCAGTAGCAGTAAGAGTGCAATGGAAAACAGCCCGGTCACTGGGGGGATCTGGACACAGCGCTGCCCTTAAGTGCTGCTCGTGTGAGGAATTATCTGTGAGTTTCCCAGCCGCACGCAGTGATGGGAAATCTCACCTTCAACCTTTGTTTGTCCACAGAGAGTCCAATGGAACACATCAGGCTCATTATTTCCCGAATATTGGGCTTGACCTGGTGTCACGATGCAATTCCAGTTCCTCTGTGCCTCAAAAGTCTTTATTACTGTAATGTGTGTATTGTGATCCTTATGGCCAGTTGGGGTTTAGTTCATTGTTGAAACACATTTATGTGTACTGCAAAATACGGTTGTTTCTATAACAGTATGTATTATACGGCTCCTCACAGTAACATGTCGCATTGGGTCGCCCTGTCGGTACTTACAGTATTTTCAGATAACATCCTGCGTGTTATACAATATCCCTTACATATTGTACAGCAGGATGTTGCAAAACTTGCTCATATTGTACAATATTTATTATATTGTGAAATGTATTAGTTCAATCTAAGAAAGCTTAGCTTTTCCTACTTTGTATGTTTGTCTATATTTTGGTGATAGCAACAGTTGCTGAGGAGCTTTAGCTGGCTCTTGGCTAATAAAGTAGTCCTTTTCCCATTGACGTTTGGGCCTGAAGCTCATGGGTTTGATCTCCCCACAAGACCTACTCCAACTGCTCCCACTGATGTCTGCACTTGTTGCGTCATTGGGCACGACACTTAACCCCACGTTGCTTGAAGCCCCCGCTGGAAGAACATGGCTGTGACGGTGCTGACAGAGCAGCAGCCATCTTCCTGAGGACCCACCACCTGACCGGAGGATTAGCAAGGGACTGGTGCTATGAGCAGTGGGTGGCAGCTCTGATTGGCTCCCCCCCCGACCCAGAAATTGACTAATAAAGGGGTAGAAAATGAATGAATGTTTTTGAGAGCATAGAGGACAAAATCTAAATATTTGCTAATATGGTTTGAGTTTGAGAGTGTTTTGACAATTGCCTTGTGAGTGTTGCCTTGTGTTGTTATGGTACACTTAATTAAGGTATACGTCATTTATTCCGGTAGGGCCACTGTCAGGAGCCGTGGTTTCCATAGTACAGAGCCTCAGGACCCATTTTCAGATGTTGAAGCTCATCTTGGTCAGGACCAGAGCCCGTGGTTGTTGACTATTGTGCATGCTTTTAGTGGAAACTTGAGCACCAGGAGGACATATACACAGACAGTTTTTTTTTTATATTTTCTTGTATACACTGGTGCAATAGGGTTTATGAATTATGAATAACCCCATAATTAATAAATCTAATAATTAATAAAAATAAGACTTATTTCTGTCATTATTTATAGCTAAAGCTAAAGAAGCATATGCAAACATTTGTGAGCTCCTTATTCCCACTGTACAATGTGTATACAAGGCATTTGTTCCCACTCTTGGACAAATAGAACGTACCTTTTTCTCCAATCCAAGTTTCTGATGAAAATAACCTCATCAGCTGAGCATTTTCCATATTTTGTCTTCAAATACTTTTATGAATGTATGCTGAGGTATGCAACATGTGGACTTGGTTAAATGAAACCTGATTAGACCTGCAATGTCTTTCAGTGGACCTTCAATAGTCTATTCATAGCAGCACTTTACACAGAATATAACCTCGGTGCCTGTTAGGTTGTCTGGGCCACCATTAAAAACAACTCTAATCACAGGGACCGGAGCAGCGATGTTAATGTGATTACAGGAAGGATAATTTTAGGGCCTCATTAAATGAAAAGTGTTTTGGTGCTCAGTGTGGGGCAGGTTCACACATCACTGTAGACCCATGATTATTGTTGACAGAGGTGAGACGGTAATTGTACAGACTTGTGTCAGATTTATGAGAGAGAATAATAATAGTCACGTACAAAACATATTTTCTCTCAATCTCCTCTTTGCGGACACTTACAACATTATTATTGTGTATAATGTATTGTAGCTCAAACCTTAATTTTGGTTTCAAGCTCATTTTGCACATGTTTTATAACAACATTTTGCTCTTTTAAACCAAATAATTTATCTCAGTTTGTGGTGTTTGACTATTCATCAGTCATTAGAATTAATTTAATGACTGACGGTTGGAATATGGAGGCCAAGTCGTTTTGCAATTTCACATTTTTATATAACACAATAATTATCCAATAACTTTGCAGTTGTCTGTTACTTTGTTGTGGTATTTTATTTTTTTTTTTTTTTTTATAAAATGACAAAATATTAATTGGTTTGTTTTTGCATTGTAAATGATAAATAATAATTGTTTTGGTGCACTTTAGACATCATCCTACTAGGTCACATCCCCTCCAGGGATGTCAAACAACCAGGAAGTATAAATATACATATTTTAGATATAGTCACTCTGGGATAAAAGAAAATATAGATATAATACATAAATTGCCCATATAAAAAACTTGCGCAATACCGGAGGCAACTATCCCATGTAATGTTAGAAATTATACAGTCATTAAAAAAAAAAAATAATGATTACAGTTTGAAAGCTTGTTCTCTACTAATCAGCTGTGTTGAATAATGATGACAAGACCTATATCTTTTATTTTAAAATTGGTTTCTGTAACTTTTTGAAACACATTTTTAGTGTTTCAAAACACACTAAAAACAGACATATCCGTGATGAGTCAGTCTGCCCCGATGTTCAGGGGTGCTAACCTCTTTTTGCACACATAGCAACCATTGACAAAAAAAAAACAAAAACATAGTGTTCTTACTGCTAGTAACATGTGGAAAATTAATGAAACAATTTATTCATACTATGCTTCACACACAGAAGAAAAATCCAATAACATTTTCACTACAACGAAGCAGAGTGTAAAGAAGATCATTGATTCCTATAACATGAATAAAGGTGACCCAAATGAAGCCCTGTGAGAAAAAAAAGTACTTTTATTTGACTTATAAAGTCTACAAATACAAAATAATGTTCATTGAAAAAATTAAAACTACAAGCAGTGATACAAGGACCTCGCAAAAACATAGTAGCATGTTAAAAGTACAGAAAAAGAATAAACTCACTCTGACAGAGGGCCAGATTCTCTCTCTCTCTCACCCCCACCCCCCACGTGTACTTGTGTGTATATATGGTTTATTTTCTGTTGTCACCGTATGTATTTTGTAATTGTTTAGTGTCAGTATATGCCCTCTTTTATATCTTGTTTTATATCCAATATATTAAGCAAAAACTAGTCTACAAGGAAAAAAGTGAGAGAAGGCAACTATCAGAACAACAGAGATATCACAATAAACACAACCAAACAAAACATATGGAATAACACGCAGTGTGTGAAGGTCCGACTGCGTTTCAGAAAGAAGCAATAAGACCGTTTCTACACATAGTACACATCTGTTTAGATAGAAATCTTCAGCGGAACGAGCTCTTGGTTTGATTTGTTCTCTTCTTTGGGGTTTTGATATGAAAGTCTCACAAATATCACAGCGAGAATAATACCTGTAGAAATTGAAACAGTCGTGATAAGACAAAAGGTGAAATAACACATTGAATGAAGTTTGTATTTGACAGTTTTGTTTGATCACCTATGACTGTGAAGGTGCCGAGCAGGATGCCCACTGCAGACTGGACGGTTGGCATGCCCTGCAGCTTCTTGGCAGCGATTTTACAGTTTCCTCTGATGTTGCACGGACACACTGTGACTAATAAGTGGAAAGAATAAACGCCTCATCTATACAGGCTGGCATATTTACTTAGAATGAACACGCATTTGCACATGCTCCCTATTTCAAAAGAAAATAACAATTATTACATTTTGGACAACAATTTTAACTTGTTTTGAATTATAGATGCATTTGTTGTATACATAGAAAATAATATGTAGTTCATGTTTATTATTATGAATGAAAATCTAAAATGTAAAGGACCATTCCGTAGATCAGGGGTGTCAAACTGTTGCCTGTGAGAACCTTTTTGTGGCTCCTAACATAACTTCCATTTACAGTATTACGAACAACTACTGATATAAGAGTGTATATTATGAAAGAAATCCACTTTTTCCCAATGTGTGGAAACATCTCTGTTGCATCACAAGTTTCAGAACAGTAGGAACGAGAAGCACACAACACAAGATTAGTGAATGTTAACACACAATAAAAAAATATAAAATACTAATGAATGTTTTACTTTCATTTCAAGATTCTTCAATGGAATTATATCACATAATTGAATGTTTTATTCATATATAATCAGCCTTCAAGAATCCATCTTTACCTTTCCAGATTTGGTTCGATCCACACATTTTGTCACTGAAATCACACGGCCCCAGACATGAGTCTGACACTGTAGATCTCAGATACTTGCTTTCAAATCATCATTCAGTCTTGCTTAGCAAAGAGTTAGCCATGTGTTTGCTTGTGCAACACTTTATATTAATGGTACATGAGTTCATGCATGATTCTCATGAACTAATGCATGAATTAATGCATTAGTTCATGATACATTCGTGCATTACCAGATCGTGAATTCTCATGAACTAACATGATTACATGTTGGTTTATGAATTACTTCATCCATGAATTAATGGTTGAACTACTGTAATGAATTTACATGAAAATCTTAAAGAATCATCATGATCATGATGATGTCATGAATTTACTGAAAAAGCAATGAAATGAGCAAAAAAAACCATGAACATCATGAGTCATATGGCGGAAATCTACTAGCAAATTATGACGACACAATCATGAACTTATCATTAGCTAATGCTTAATAGGGCTGGAAAGTCTCGTCCCAGAAGCACTTCCGGTTCATGGCTCGAATACAAACAAACCGTCAGCTGTTCGAAGAGGCGGTTTATGTGAATGGTGCAAAATGCTCTGCTTTGTTTTCGGCTGTAATCATCAAAGTTTACATGAAGCATGCTCATTTTTTAGGTTTCCCAAAGACCAACTGAAGCTGTGTAAAAAGCTATGCAGTTGTGATAAAACATTTTGTCTGATTTTCAAGCTAACTTGTAGCTAATGCTAACCTGTAGTGCGCTGCCGAGCCTTTCATTGTGGCTTGTATTTTAAGATAAGATTAACTTTATTATCGTCACACAGGATACATTTATTTATTTATTTGAGAGATAAAGGAGGAACATATTAGCACATATTAAATAACATTTAACAAATGTTCAAATATAAACAGAAAACGGACAATCATAATATTAGTAGTAAATGAATAGGTAACCCAACTACATCATGTTATTTTTGGCAGCACAGCAAAAATGTGGCCCAATGTGAAGCTGCAGTGAGTGTGAAGTGGAGATGGAGCTGATAGAAAACTGATCATTCATATACATTGGCTTATAACCAAAGCAGCAAAGATAGCTGTAAGGGACAACATCAATTTATTTGCATAGGAATAGTGTTTCTATATTTTCTTTCTGATGCGTGATAGTGGATTAAAATACAATGAGTTTGAACCATAGACTGTATGTTTGAACACGGCCCTGCACCATTCTCGTCTCCCCGTCAGATGGAAACGTCAGCACATGGCCAGTTCACAGCTAATTCCGACCGCTCACTCAGTTTTTCTGTCCCAGAGACGAAATGTGTCCAAAATAACACAGGAAAGTCCTTTAAGGAGGAAGAAGTCGGCGATCTCCGCACCATACAACTGGCACGTGTGGTTTGTTTGTATCCACGGGTGGAAATCTCGCAAAATCTCGCACTTCCGCTTTCCAGCCCTATACATCATGATTTCATTATGATTGTGTCCCCTCAACTAAAGTGAAGCAATGATTTATGGGTTGTTCCATCAATTTATTTTACAAACTATCACACGTACAGCATAACCAAATAAGACCTCCAGTGCGCCATATGACTCATGATGTTCATGCATGATCATGAGGATCATGATAGGTTGATGATCTTTTGCTCATTTCATTGCTTTTTCAGTAAATTCATGGTATCATCATGATCATGATGATTCTTCAAGATTTTCATGTAAATTCATTACAGTAGTTCAACCATTAGTTCATGTATGAAGTCATTCATGAACCAACATGTAATCATGTTAGTTCATGAGAATTCATGATCTGTTAATGCACGAATGTATCATGAACTAATGCATTAATTCACGCATTAGTTCATGAGAATCATGCATGAACTCATGTGCCATTAATATAAAGTGTTACTGATTTAATGTTTAATTTTGCCATGAACATTTACAGAGAAACAGTAGCACTGGCTGCGGCTACAATAAAGTGAAGGAGGACACGCTGGCACACCGGCTGATCCATATCGATCGCTCCTTTGCTCTTGTCATATCAGTGTTTGGGGAGTGGGTGTTACCTGGCAGGTTGATGAAGGTGCTGCGTGGAGGAGAGCTGCTGTCCGAAATGGTGAACGGCACTGTGTAGACCTCCGGAGGCAGATAGGGGATGTTTAAGGACAGGTTTGTGTGGGTATCTGTGAATTAAACACAATGTCTTCAAAAGAACAATAACAGCTAGTATAACATGGCAGTCATACTGAGAACTGAAGAACACATTTGTGGCTTGTGTGATTAATTCAGAAGACTACTACAGTCTTCCCATACCCCTCGGTCCTGCTCCTGCCCCTCACCGCGGTGTCATCTGCACGACTTTTGACAGCTACAACAGCGCTTAGACCTACAAAAGGTTTGCCATCTCCACTTCTGCAGTTGTGAGTTCAGGTGGTTAGAAAAGTGTACCAAGTGTGTGGTGTGTGGTTTTGTAGCCATACAAAATATACCTCCTAATTTTGCTTATTGCGGGCTATTTTTTTAACTGTTGCGATAAACAAGGGAACACTGTATTACACAAGTGAGGAGTATTGTAAATATACTCACAATTATTGAATTAATGCCACAGGGGAAAATATTTCAAAATTGGATCAATGCTACAGACTTCTACATCTCTGTGGACTGAGCGCTGTTCATAAGGAGCCATCTGGTTTGCGTGCATCTTTATCTTATCTACACAAATCAGTTTAAGATATGTACTGACCATACTGACCCGCATGACGCAAAAGCTTTGTCCAGCAAAGAGCAACATTTATCAGTTTGTTTGAACTGTTATCTGAGGGTCGTACACACCACACTCACACTTCCATCACGCCCCTGGACTGGAAGTGCGGGCCTCACAAGTGCATGGAGAGCTGTTACTGAATATGTTTTTGAAAAGAGTCACTCAAAATAGTCGCTCACTACTGTCTAAATGCACCAAAGGAATTATCTTCCAATAGATAACCAAGCCTGACCAGGCCGAGCATCAACATCAATAGCAGTACTATTGTACCACTACTGCTGAGCCCGATGAGCATTTGAAGGATGGTCAAATACAGAGAGCAGGGTTCCAGTTGTGTTTACTGCAAGTGGTTAAATAAATAACTAAACTTAACCTAAACTTTAACACTACTGTCATCAACGCATATTGCAAATTCCTCTTACCAATAACGAATGTACTGATTAAAAACAAAACTATATATTTTATATATTTCTTGTATTTGAGTATTTCAAGCAAATTTTAATAGTAGGTATTGATAGAATAGATTAGTGTGTGACTCATGTGCTCTTAGGGCTTTAAATTCCAAATGACAAACAAAAGTGTACTACTGCAGAAGTTGTCTCATTCTTAGCCTCCATTAGGTGGAAGTGCAATTAGTGACACCAATAGCAACAAGAAATGACTGTATGTAATTACAGCTAGTCTTAATCAATACCATCAGGACAAAAGACAAAAATCTAGTTATGAGCAACGCTTTCAGAATGACCCATTTGTTGACCCATTTGCTGAGTGGTGGTTAGCATTAACACAATTTGAATTGATTTGTAAAAGATGAACAAACTGTAACCCTGTCTGACACCGGATTTATACGAACATTGTTGTTGGTGTCTTAACTTTTATAATACAGTTTTATCTGCAGTGTGACTGGGCACTCCGGTGAAGCAGCTCAGTCACACAGGAGGAGCTGGGAGTAGAGACGCTGCTCCCCCACTGAGGTGGAGGCCTCTTGGATATTGTGTGCTGTTCTGTGCTACTCTTTAATGACAAACGGAGAGTAATGATAATGTCAGATTGTTACCATTTATAGGTGTAAGTTTCCAGTTGCGTCGAACAGTAGCATCACTGCGAAGGGAGAAATTAAGGCGTCCTCCGTGTTGTGGCCCGTCACTGTCCCGAGATGCCAGCACCAGCGCCTGGTCCTCCCACCGAGGGGTGCACAGGTACTTCCAGGAGTAATCCCCCACCAGCACCGGGCTGTTGTCATTCACATCCAGAATATGGACCGTCACCAAAGTCGAGGCAGATAATGACGAGTTCCCTTTAGATTGTAATAAGAGACAAAGCGTGAGTCATAGAAAAGTTAAGCTTTTATAAAAATGTAATAAAATGATTCATATCTTACGTCCATCAACTGCAATGACCTCCATTGTGTAGGTACTGTTCTCTTCTCTGTCCAGGGCCTGCACTGTTTTCAGTTCACCTGAATATCTTCCAATTGAAAAGTACTTTTTGGTGTCTCCTTGAAGAGAATACCTAGATTGAAATGTATATTTAGTGTATTAGACACCGTGACAGATAGGCATCCATCTCTTATTAGATTTTCTGCCTACTCCTTTTGAGTTATGCATTATTATAGTTATTATTTATTTTTATGGTGCACAAACAATAAATACTTAAAAAAACGTTAGATAGTTTTGCAGTACCTGATTGGATGGGAGTCAGGGTCATATCCCCTAATGGTGGCGATCACCCGTCCTGGCTCCTCCCCCTCGCGGACAGTCACCTCATAGTGGCTCTGGGACAGGATGGGTCCTTCGTTCACATCGTCCACATAGATGGAGACTGTTGCCGTGGATAAAGGCCCGTAGCGACCGCGGACCAGGGCCACTGGGTTCTGAGCACTAAGGACAAGGATGTACTCACTCTCACGCTCAAAATCCAGCACCTAATGAAAAACTCATCATTACAAAAGAAATGGCATTGTATACTATATTAACAAAACATTTCAACTTGATGGCACGTCTGTGTTATTTAAGAGGGAAAAACATGTCTAGGGAATATTTGTCAACTGACCATAAAGAGTAAAAAAGACCTAAATGAAAGTCTTGAACCAAAATGTTTTAATATTTATTAAAGTGAGACGATAACTTAAACCATAATGAACCAAAATAAAAATCATTCTTGTTGAGAGATGAGACTAGATTATAGATAATCATGTATTGACTGACGATGATACATAGTTGATAGATACATCCTGTCAGTATGCCCCAGGGCAGCTGTGGCTACAGTAGCAGTTTATCACCACCGTGTATGGAGTGAATGAATAATGAAGCCTCTTTGTAGTGTCCAAAAATAAGATAAGATGAGATATGATATTCCTTTATTCGTCCAACAGTGGATGATATTGATACAGATTATCGGTCAGGCAAATAACTCCTAGACTTGATTTTTCATTTTTTTTTTAATAGCCCTAAGAATGACAGTTCTTTCTATTCCTCATATTGCTGCATTTGGCCCGCTACAGACTGCTGGCTCAATGGAAATTCTCCGTGGCAGACTCGTCCTTGTTTCAGTTTTTATCATCCTCTACAACAGCATGAATCACAGACTTTTCTTGAGCCTGTGTTATTGTCAACTGTGCCCAATGTGTGGGCTTTGTAGATAGCCTAACATCTCTTGTGTTCTTTAGTAAAAGCAGATATTATTAAAAGGGGCTTGCTGACATCACGGCTCGCCTCTGTTGCCACGGGAGAAGAAAGACAGACCCTGGAAGCTTCGAGTACAGCCGCTGACTGTAAGTGACGCATCACACAGCATCAGGGTCCATCAGGGTCTGAGGTGTTCAGAGGACGCACTGATCCATCTGGGATTGTTTTGTCCGAGGTGAAAATGAATTTGTGACGTATGTTTTGGCATGTGACTCACAATCAGTTAAAAATATATACACACTTGGATAAAAGGAAAACAAGTTAATAAATTACTTTGCTTCTTGGCTTTCCTCAGCATAACACGCGTAGTTTACAAGATGAAAAAGACAAGCAGAGAGGCAGACATCGCAATTGTTGGAAACTATTTGGTCCTATATTTACTCTGTGTGTGAGTAGACCAACTGTTGATATGAAAATGTATGTCAATATTAAGATGTATGTTCTTTACACTGCTCCTTTCCTTTCTTTATCTTATCAGCTTTGGATCCTGATCCTGCATACGTGCCCCTAATAAAGTCTAACCATTTTTTTTAAGGTGTTACTTTTTTTGTGCTTTATAGTAACATTATTGGTTATTAAATGATTATTCATGTAGAACAGACTGGTATTTAGGCTTGTAATCAACACATTATTTGCTGACTAAGTATCAAGTAAGATAAAGCGATTATTAGGCCAAATAGAAGAATGGATTGTGACAAAGGCTTTTAAACTATTGTGTATCTTCTTGTGAAAGAAAAACAACAACAGCACAAGAGTTAATTAAACAGGTTATCCTGCAGTATATTATAGAAAGCGGTAAACTGTAATGAATCTGTTCTTTCTTTCTGATCGGCAAGTTGCCGCACGCTCGCAGTCACTTGGCATTGAGTGATTCATGCAACTTGAATGATGTCATCTCATTGTATGTCTGAGGGAGGAAAAAAAAGAAGGAGCCTATTTATAGTATTCAGACATCAAATGGGAGCTTGAGTGACACACAATTCAATTCGTAATTTTATACTCGCACAAAAAGGTTGGAAATAATAGTCTTTCTTTTGCCAGGTCCACTTATAGAAAATCACATCTGAACCTTCTCGCCTTGTGGCTGCGGGTACCTCGGTTGAATCCCCTCCGACCATTCAGCGACCGGGGGATGCGGGTGTTGTAGGTCAAGAGTTTGCGTCAAATTTACTGGTTGTATGTTTGTTTGACAATTGCGGCGAATGCAACAGTAAAGTAATCCATTCTGGTTTGGCTCCCAAATATCAAGAAATTGGAGCCGGAGGAATGTCCAACCCCTCCCATCTGTTAATGGAGCTCAATACGAAATTAAATGAGTGCGTGGTATGGTAAGACCAGGCTAGGAGTATACTGTGCTTTAAAACCCACTAAAAAGATGTGAAATGTGTACTACTAGATTACAAGATTACACAGTTGTAATCTTTACCTTTGAGAGCACCAGAGACACTTCGTTGGTTTGTCTGTCTGTCACCAGAGAGAAGGCTTCTTCTTCGTTTCCGGACTCCATGCGGTAGTTGACCTGCCAGCTGTCTCCCCCTCGAACATCTCCGTCACCGGCCACAATCGCAGTCACTGTGGTACCCACCGGGGCGTCCTCCGGAATGTGGTAGGGCCCATACTACGAACACATGATTAAAGACATTATCAAAGGGGCTTTTTTTGCTAAATAAGACCAGTTCAAGAACAGTGGGCATATTCAATCTCTGCAAACAAGATAAACACTGCAGCTATTGATGTTAAAAAATTAACATAATCTTAAAGAGGTTTTAGTTAGTACCATAGACTCTGTATAGATGGATAATGCTAGCTCAGCCCGCTAGCTCAATGAAGTAAGTAAGTAAGTAAGGTTTATTTATATAGCGCAATTTACAGACCAAGGTCAGCCAAAGCTCTTTACAATCGTTCAGAGTTCAGATAGTTTTTCCATTCTCAGAAGCGAGTCGCCGAACACACTGGCACATCAAAGCCCCCAACCAACACCATTCATTCACTCACTCATTACATTCATACCTAATGTGCATGTTTTTAGTGGTAGGAGAAACCGGAGCACATGAAAATGAAGCCCAATCGCTCTGGCTCCTATTGACTTACATTAAAACTAAAACTTCTTTATCTCTGTAACCATTTTGGGAATACAACATCTGTTGTTTAGCATTTTATGTGATCTTGGTGTTTTTAAATATTTTTACATTGTCTTTGTAAATCCAGAAACGATCCAAAAAGATCGACAAAATCAGATGCCTTGATTTGTGGGGGTGCCTTAGCAACCAAATTAGCAACATCCTCAGTTCACATCTGCTAATGCCATGGTGTGTAGGTAATCCTGCCAAAAGAAATGCTCATTTAACGAATTAGCTTGTGTTCAAATCAGCTTCTTCCGCATAGGCCAAACACTATGGGTGCTGTCAACTCTCATAGCATCTCATATTAGTTCACTCCTAATATACGATCTATGGCTAAAATATAACATCGTTTTCATTAAAAAAATACATATATAAATATAGTTTTTCATTCAACCTGTATTTAACCAGGATGTCCCTTGAGATAACATGTTTTTCGGGGGTTACCATTCAAATGCTAATGAATATGGATATGATTTAAATGTAGACTAACTATTCTCACGATATAAATGTTGGTGGCAAAGATAGAATCGTCTGAAGAGGGCTGTGACCCTCTTGACCCGCCGGCGCACACCTCTGTGTTCAGACAAATGGTTAATCTGTCACTCACGCAGGTCTCTGATCCTATAGCCCCCGTTGCAGAGTCGCTGACCCCTCCCTTGTCAGCACTCGTCTCTCACACACCCCGACAGTGTAAGCCCCACAGCCATGGAAAATACTGCACTGCTGAAGCGTGACCTGCTCAAGAGCATTTCCACCTCTGCATTTGAACTGAAGCAGAAGGGGACCACACTGTGCTTAAAGGAGCAGAAGTGAGAGGACTGTTAAGCATCATTGTTTTAACTGTACAACTATCCTCACCGCTGTCAGATTGTACAATAATAAGTCACTTGACCTGCACTAGGACTGAAAAACTCTCACGGCTATAGTCACTTTTAATTTTATTTTAATGTACATAATATATCTAGACTATAATTTAACCTTTTAACATGTTTGCACACTTCCTGTCTTTTTGATGAGTGATTCTATCTGTGCCAAATGTGACATGTAAATTTCTCAATAGTGAGATCAATAAAGTCTATCTTGTCTAACAGTACTGTAATGTCACTTTCCAATGCTCAATGATGAAACCTTTCTTTCTTTAGCTATTAACACCATCTCCAGTCTTTCTGTGTCACTGTGATGTCTAAAAGAACAGCCAGAGATTGGATTCTTATTATCACAGTGGGCAGCTCTCCCACATAGCTCCCAGTTCTTTAAGTTGCAGCAGGAAGTGAACAGAAGGGGATTCTCTGAAACTCTATTTTCGGAGTATTTCCTTCACACCATTCACTTGATCACACTGGGAAAGTGACTAAGGCTCGAGACAACTTTCAAATATCATTATTATAGTAAAATGCGATTCAAAAAGGTTTTTAGCTCACAATATATCTGAAGGTCTTTACAGCTGTATGCAATAATAACAATAATTTACCCGCAAAGTGAACGGCATTTCATTTCAAAGCTGTGTTCTACTAATTCTACCATCCTACTAGGAATTGTACAGTACTCATAGATGTTACCCACAACGATTCATACCACATTTTGTGTAATTTATTTTCTGAAAGTGAAACCTAGTCAATTTGCTAAAGCCAGGTTCTGAAATACTTCAACCAATATACAATATCCTTATGAAATCCCTCTCACTCACTTAATGCAGCCATAATGAGAAAACTTGCTCAGATTGACTGGTTGAATATCACATTGGATAAACTGTTTGATGCAGTGGAAAGAAGAGAAGCAACGTCTTTGCTGTCTCCAAGGCCAAAGCTCTGAGCTTTATCTGCCATGTTTCCCTGTTTGTTTGGATGCTTCACCTTTGGATTCTGAGGTCTGCCCTGTGTCTCTACAATAAAAGTTACATTTTCTGCATTGTAGGCCCAGGGCACTTTGAAACAGCACTAGTACAATATGACATCTCACTATAGGTGACATATGTGGCTGGTACTTCGATTTGCTGGGTTAAACAGTTGATATTGTGTGGCTGATACCTCGTGTTGGGAAAAGACTGGTGGGTTGTTATTCTCATCCTGCACAGTCACCACCACAGTGCACGAGCTGTTGAGACCTGCCACAGAGAGACAGAGGGAGATGATCTTCGCTGCATCTGTCAGTGACTCAGGCCTGGCCCTCTCACTGCACCATGACGGAACAGCTAGTCCCTCACTTTGCTCCATCACACCTTGAGCCCTGAGTCACTGACATATTAGATGCCCAGAATCTGTTCTAGATAAACTTGGTTCATGCCCTTCCATTTTTAGAGGAAGCTATAAGGCATACAGATGAAACTGGTAATAACATTACACACCTATTCGTTTTCCCACAACTAAAATGTACTGATTGTATTTTAGGAGACCTATTAACCCTCAGAGGAGTAAGTAATCTACCTTTCTATCGATCTGCTTCTTCTCCCATGAACATTTTGGATTAGATTTTACGACGATGACATAATGTATTTGTCTCTTGTCTGTATTGTTAGTATCAGTATAGTCGCCTGAGCTTCCAGTTACTGTATTTATCTATCTATCTTTATGTCATTATCCTTTCTTTATTCCGACTCTAGGTCCACACTATATCTATATATATCTATCTATATATATATATATATCTATATATATATAGATATATATATCTATATATATATAGAAAACTTCAATATTAAATGCAATAACACACATATAAAACTTCATAGCGATATTATGATCTTAAAATGTGAGAAATGAAATCCATTAACTTTACCTTTAGCGTCTTCTGCAGTGATGGTCAGTGTGTACTGTGGAGCAGTGCCCTCCATACTGTCTGCTTGGACCGATATGACCCCAGAGTCCCGGTCTACTCTGAAGAGGGCCCTGGGACTCTCTGGGATCTGTCCCACTAAACGATAGAAGATCCGCACATTGTCCGTCTTTGGATCGTCGTTGTCAGCCGCCTGCACTGTCAGGATTTCAGTCCCTGTAAATATGGAAATGTTTTGGGGCTCTTACAAGTTCAATCAATCAAACAATACAATTATTGAATTCTCTGACATGTTCGAGATTAAGATAAAAATGCCCTTTTTAATTAGATACATGATTTTACAAATAATTCTGTGATATTTAACAGGTACAACTTCTTAGTATTATTAAGTTTAGTGTCCCAGATCATCACAGGATTAAACGCTTCTGCATCTGCAAGAAAAAAGTGAGAAACTCTCAGAGAGATTCTCCTCCACGGACAGACAGGCTGTAGATCTTGGACTCAGGCTGTGGAACAAGGACTGAGGCTGTGTAAGACTGAAGAGCCTCCCTGGCAGGGAGGGGGTTCAGCGCACATGTCCAAATGTATCATCCAAGCAGATCCACAACCTGATACCACAAAATATCTGTTTTGCTGTGTACAGTGTGTGCAAATGGTACACACAAGGTTTCTTTCCTCCTGCTGTGACTAGATTCTTATGGCTTTCTTTTCGAGCAGGTTAACTTTTGAATGCAAGTTAATTCACTAATCACAACTAGTCAGCAGTTGTCAAAACCTTTTGTATCAATTAATTGTTAGTTTCTTCACCTTACACAGAGCTACCCATGCTGAGAAAAGGATTTGTAGCCTATATAAATCTATAATGACTGCAGAAGTAAAGGAAAACATGTTTACAAAGAACCAACCCCAATGTTCTCCAGAGGAATTACTTGATCTTTGTTTTGGTCAAATGTATAAACAGACCCATATTCACAGACCTTTCAAGATTCAAATAAATAATTAATCGAAAGAAAGATCAGCCAGCCAAATAATCAAAGTAATCATTTTACAGCCCTTCCATGTTTACGTCCATGTGTTTGGATTAGAAAAGGTGATACATGAATGAGTTAGAAGAGGAAGCTTGTTCTTTATCCCTCCTTCAGATCCATTTAGATTAGTAGATTGCGTGAGTAGTCCATTTCCAAGAAGTACTGTTTAAAAGCATCAACAAAAAGGCTTTCAGTCTCCTATCTGTCACTGCGCACATTTTACGAAGTGAAGGATGCTTTCCTGGCAAGAATCCAATTTTCAAAGAGACTGTTTGGTAATGCAGCACTTTTCCCTCTGTCTCACATGATTTTGCTGGTAGCAAAAAAGAAAAAAAAAGTATTTTTGGCTGAGTGGTGTCGTAGTGAAACTGTAGGAGGTAAATTGGAGAGTTTTGGTTTGCTGTAAAATTCCAATCTAACAAACGTGAACCATTACTCTTTTGAATATCTTTAATATCTGTGTTGATACTAAATGATTTGATAGAAAACTACAATCACAGACTTTTGTATGGAACATTAGTAAAATATTTATCAAACAAAGGTATGGGAGATCAGAATATTCAGTGGTGAAAAACAATATAACTGATCGAGAATCAGGCAAAAAAGTAAGAGCGTCTTAGGAATAAAAATAACTCGAACACAAACTTATCTCTCCAAAGACATCGCTAAAGTGTGAGAAAGGAAAGGCTTTATTGTAAGGAGGAAATATCTAGCCATATAAAAATAAAGTAGATTTGATAATTTGACCCATTTTTGTATTTACTGCCCTGAGGAAACAAGCTCATTCAAACAACCAGATGCAAAAATGTGTCATGGAATTGATGGGTTCTAACTGGGAATGCCATTGAGTTAGCAGTTGGGGAATTTGTATTTCAATAATTATGCAATCGAAATGTTTATTTTTCAATCTCAATTGTTATTTTTTTCACACCATGATTTTCAGAGGAACATGCTACTACTAAACGCAATGTATATATATGATATGTAGCCTACCATAACCTTACTTCACGACTCCCACTGATGTCTGCGGTCAATGTGTCCTTGGGCAAGACACTTAACCCCACTTTGCCTGTAGCCCCTGCTGAAAGATCTCAGCTCCCGTGGACTCACCACCTGCAGGAGGATCAGTACCCCCAGTGCTATGTGTACTGGAGGCAGCTCTGACTGACACCCCCCAACCCAGAAATGGATTAAGGGAAGAAAATGGATGGATGGATGGATGGATGGATGTATGTATGTACCTCTTGCAGCCAGCTCTTTGACCACAGTGTGATATTGAGCCTGAGGGAAAGTGGGCCTGTTGTCGTTGGCGTCGCCCACCATCACACGCAGCTCTACGGGTTTGGCGATCTCTCTGCCGTCCGGACGCTCCACCACGATAGAGATCAGAAACTGAAACGTATGAATCAGAGCTGTGTTTTAGTAGTTTATTGTTGAGTGTAGATTTAATGTGAATTTAAACACATTATGATCCTTTGAGTTGTTATATGTGAAATGTTGCTTATTGGTTTATAACTATTCAGCTGGAAATTTACTAACATAAAAGTATAGATTGATGGATACCCAATTGTCATTACAGATGTTGTTTTTGAAATTATTATTTTTATTATTAAAACCTACAGTGAATACCAGGTATGGTATATACAGTAAGGGACTATTTATTTTTTGTGTGTATCATAAGCACTCATGCATCTTACAATTTTGAGCTGAAAAACTTTTAACCTCACTGCTCTTTAGCCGTGGATTTACATTTACAGAATATGCAATTTAGTCCCACACTATGTCTGAAGCTTAATCTAATGTATTCTGTCATGTATTCCTTACACATCTCTTCTGTGCGCTTTTGTAATTGCCCCTTAGGGATATGTAATGGTATTTTTTTGATAAATGTTTTGTTTTTCCGGGAAATTCTGCAGAGGTCACATATAATATCACTTAAATATGATCTATTACATCTACCAGCGTTATTTAACATCTGTAGTTTTGCTTTTGGATGTCTCCTATGGCAACACTAAAGATATTTTAGAATTTGACTTTGAAGAAACAGCCCAACGGACATACTCTGAACTCTATAACTAAAAATCCTGTAGCTCCCTCTTTTATCTTTTACATCCTAATAATACCTGCTCTTGCCCATGGGCTTAAAACAAGCAGTGGTACCTGGTCCTGTGTCTCTCGGTCGAGTGGCGCGTTCAGATAAATGACTCCCTCTCGGCTGATGGTGAAGAGCATCTCTGGGAACTCCCCCTCCAGGCTGTACTCGGCCTGGCTGCCAGTCCATTTGACCTACATAAACGTGCACAAGCCAAAACAAATTTTGCAAGAGTGGAATTGATCTGTTACACGTCATTCCTGGAATTCCTGCGCACAACTATAGGTATGCGCATGGACAATGATCATCCGTGTTAGGATTTAGGTTTTTTTCCGGTTTTATTTTGTAATTTGTTGACTCCTTTGTCTGCTTTAGTTGCACTTCCTGCTTCCTGATTACCCTCACGTGTATCACCCATGGATCTAGGTATCACCTGTGTCTTGTTAGTCTTGTATTCAAGCCCTGTGTGTTCCTTCAATTCCTGTTCTGTGTCTGTGATTTATATTCCTTTTTATTAATTCCATTATTTTTCAGATCTGCGTTTTGAGCCTTACTTATTTTTCAACATACAATCCGCTTTTTATGGACCAATACCTCTGTGTGTTTTTTTATCATTGCATTTCCTGTGTTTGATTTTCTGATCTGTGTTGACATATCCACAACTCTGCAAAGTCCCCCAAGATTTAGAGCTATACAAAAATAAACTGCATTACATCAAATTGAATCATTGTATTGACCTTGGCTCAGAACAATGTACCCGCGTGTATTTTCAGTCTATTGTTTTGACTGTCTTTGCAACAATGTACGTTGCATTCATTTTAACTACCTCCGGTTATTCACGTGAGTATGCAGGACATGCAGTGCAAGACTAGAAGGCCGTTTGCACGATAAGGAGCCAACCCAGTGCAGTGACAGTGATGTGGAACAGAGCAGGCGCCCAAAACTAACTGTGCGCCTGAAGGGGATTTTCCATTGCTCCGTGGCCGTTGACATAAGCCTGTGCAGTGGGGCTGAACCAGGCTCAAAGCTCCCAACATGGAGAAGAGGAGGTCTGGCCCGGGACAGCTGCTCACCCAGGGCATGCATCTCCTCCAACGCACTGTCACACTCTTCTTCCTTGTTTTGGAGATGGCGGAGAAAACTGCAGCTGAAATGTACACAGTGCCTTACTTCTTACAGCAGGCGGTGTCTCTGGATCTAGCTTTGGATAGTGTTTAAGGTTAGTTTTAGACAGCATCTTGTCTGAGAAAACCTAAAGTTCAATCCCATTCAATTCATTTTTTTGTATCGCCCCAAATCACAACAGCAGTCATCTCAAAGTTTAAGTTTTGTTTTCCAGATAGCTAGAATATGGGTTATTGTGAAAGGAAGCAGGGAGTGGATTTGTATTGAACTAGTTAAAATAGGATCTATGCAGTATTATCTAAATTGGGTTTTTGGACATTTATGGACATATTCCTATAGACCAATGGCTCCTATGTGTTTGTTAATAATGTATTTCCTATGATCGAACTGTATGATTCCCTGATCTGATGTTGGTCAATCAACAGCTTTGTAAAGTCCTCAGCGACGATAGCTGTGGTGTTTTTTTTTCATACGAAAATAACTTGATTGGAATTGAATAGTTGACTAGTGATGTTATCAAAATTTGAAGACTTGATCCTCAAAGACATTCTAATGATTATATTTCCAGACAAAACTGTTTTATGAATTACTAAAATACTTGAACTGGACTAGTTTCGATGAATAGGTTATTTTTGCCTTTATAGCTCAACATTCAGTGCACGTCCCACCAACATGTGAACATCTGCTGTATTGTTTTCAGGAATCCCCCGGAGAATGGAATACAAAAAAAACAAATAGCTTGGAAACAAAAGACAAGTTACAAATGACCTTCATGTTATTGAAGCAGCGCTCGTCTGTTAAAATATGAATATGTGCCTTTTAAATAAAGGGCTTTGCTGCTCACGTTTGGATTCAAGTCTCACACATTTCCCGAGTCGTTATTTATTGCTTTGCTAAACGCATGATGTCATCCGTCTAGGAGGGTTTGCACATCCTGTCTCAAGAGGAGAGCAAGTCCACCCCAAGAACACGGTGTCTGTGCTCCACTAAACAACATTAAGAAGGAATCAATAGTGACACATGGGAACCAGCGCAACACAAATGAGGAAATCTGCACAATCACATTTGAAACACTTTATGGCAGGATTAGTTCTGACAAAAAAAAATAAGGATCGTTTGTCATCATCACTGGGTCATTTGTAGTTCTGGCAGAGATAAATTGTATTACTTAAAATCCTAATTCATTTTTCTTTCCATATTTAAGCAGAATTTTAACAATTTAGAAACAAAATACAAAGTAGAGCATTGTGTGTAAAATAGGGCTGCGTTAGGCCTGGACTTCAGATTGTTACGAGAGTTATAGTCACATCATCCATCCATCCATTTTTTCTTCCCCTTAATTCATTTCTGGGTCGGGGGGTGGCAGTCAGAGCTGCACCCAGTACACAGAGCACCAGTCCCTCACTGATCCTCCTGCAGGTGGTGAGTCCACAGGAGCTGAGATCTTTCAGTTGGGGCTTTGGGCAAAGTGGGGTTAAGTGTCTTGCCCAAGGACACAACGACAGCAATCATCAGTGGGAGTCGTGAAGTAGGTCTTATGGTGGGCTTGAACCCACGACCTTCAGGCCCAAAGGCCAATGCTCTACCAACTGAGCTACTGTTGCCCATAGTCACATCATCACAATTTAATTTCTCACATTAAATTACATATTTACAATTGTGATTCACACCCATGGCTTTGGAAAAGAGGTTTATGTCAGACGTCTTCTTATATGTCAAGTTCAATTAAAATATGGATAATTATAGATAATTCCTTTTATTTCATAGTTCATTAGCATAGATGGTTAGTTAAAAAAGGGTCAAAATCATATTTACAATTTACAATTAACATCTTTCTAATTTGGGGCGACAGTAGCTCAGTTGGTAGAGCATTGGCCTTCAGGCCTGAAAGTCATGGGTTCAATTCCCACCTCTACACCTTCTCCACCGACTCCCACTGATGTCTGCTGTTGTTGTGTCCTTGGGCAAGACACTTAACCCCACTTTGCCCAAAGCCCCCACTGAAAGATCAAGGCTATGCTCACACTCAGAGAGCAGCCGTCCTCCTGTGGACTCACCATCTGCAGAGGGTCAGTGAGGGGCTGGTGCTATGAGACTTGGGTGGCATCTCTGATTGCCACCCCCCTGACCTGGAAATGGATTAAAGGGTAGAAAATGGATGGATTTTTCTAATTAAAGGGAGGGGTATTTTTTATACTTAATTCAGGTATTTATACCTAGTTATTTTGGCTTTTCTATTAGTGTTTTTAAAGGAATAGCACAGTGACCCAAAATCAGTCAAACTATTTACAACACTATTAAAGTACCCAAAGCTCACTCATGTAATTAATGATCAAGGGCACTATGGGTTACATTTGTGAATCTCATTTTTAGATTATGTTTTATCTTAATTAGTTGATACACTTCACAACGACAGTACAATGATTAGTGAGAGCAGTCTGACACATTTCTATATTTAGTTTTAACCTCCCCCACATCCACTCAGTAAGACCATGATTTCTTTCTCCCGTTAATAACTCTAGAAGTACAAATGTGAACTGATTGCATTATATAATCAATAACAATCAGTGGAATATCAAATATGCACATACTTCATACTTGTGTGACGTCTCTCAGACAGCACTCTTATCTGAAGCTTGGATTTTATGTTTAATTGTCTTTGAATGGAATCATCCGCTGCTTGCAACCTTTCCTTAGATGTGAGATGAAGTGGGCATCTGCGAAATGCCATGATGTGATGTTCATTTAGCCGCAGACAGAGCTGGGTCTGAGTGGGTTCTTGAACACGACTCTAAAGGTGTCAGAGCTCCACGCTTCACGCTGTCGTAGGCGGATGAGGCTTCCCCAAAGCTCACACCCGCGAGAGGTGAAAAACTCAGCGGCAACTGTGTACTCGTTTCGTCACACATTATGGTCCAGGAAAAATCTGCATTCTGCTTTAATGGCTAAGTAATCCCATTGCACTGTGACTTAATACAAAAAATACAAATTCAAACGTTTATCACATCAATAATCTTTATGTTACATCAAGTCTTTATATTGAATAACCTTGAATTAACTTTCTCAAAAATAAATGTACATAATACAACTATTCTTTTAGGGCTTGTTTTGTTTCAAGGGATTTTGTTTACACAGTAGTTTACGAGATTCTTTGTTCGTCCCATGGTGCGGATATTTCAGTGATATCACAAAGACCTAGATCTTGCTCTTACCAGGCTAGCTGCTTTTATGCTGTCCCTATAATTAGTATATATAGTAATTAGTCAATGAATGAAAGTGGCAACAAAATATGTGTTTGCATAGTACTCATGGCATTTTTTTATTTTATTTTTTTACGTATTTGCATTTAAGCTGAAATTCACACAAAGCACAGAATTCACCGAGCGTTGGGTTGTTCATTAACTAATAGGCAACGTGAGCTGGGTTGAGACCGCCATGAGACGGGTTAGTTTTATTCTACTTATGATGTGTTGCTACAATAGTAATCCTGCTATTCTCCACGGCCCTCTGACCTCGACGGTCTCTCTTTCAGCTCATCTTTTCATGCTTATTTTAGTAATATTGTTAGCTATTTTCAGAAGGATCTATTCATTTGTTTTGTTTTTACGGATGGATGTGTTTCTGGTACTATGGGACACCTGAATTTCTCCAGCAGGGATCAGTAAAGAATCTATCCATCTATCTATCTATCTATCTATCTATCTATCTATCTATCTATCTATCTATCTATCTATCTATCTATCTATCCATCTATCTATCTATCTATCTATTTATCTATCTTGTGCTTCATGTGATAAAGACATGTGTTTTTGATATGCTTGAAATTTTGCTGGGTAGGGATGTGGATGATTTTGGTGCTTATAAACGTTTTTTTATTTTCTTACCAAAGCACCTTTAATCTAGATGTTTTACTTTCAATGGAGCATACCTGTATAGTTATCAGAATATCTCATAAGTCACACAGGCCAGTGAAAGGCCTCACAGTCAACTCAATCATCCAAATGTAATAGTAGATGTAAATGAGTTTGAGTATGTGAAAACGCGCCTACACTATGGGTCCACACGTTTTCAGTGGGAGGCAGGGGCTGTTAGAACAGGAGCCATGAAAGACTGAAGGCGAGAGCGGAGGAGGTGGGAGAATAGAGGAGGGGGACGCATTGTGAGGCGCCCACTGGACTCTCCAAACAAAGTATGAATTTTACACATCAGTGAACAGTCATTTCAGGAGCAGACTGCCACTGTGGCCAGCTGCATCAGATGAACTAAGCCACAACTATGAAGCACTCCAAGGCTGTCGCTATGGTTACTCATCAGTGTGCTGGAAAGCTGCTATCAACGTTTAATGTAAGGACAGCAGGGAATTTACCCTAGTTTATTCCAAGAAAATTTACATCACATAAATACAAAAACACAAATATAATAAAGGTTTCGGCAATCTTGGAGTGGAATAATAAATTGTAAAGGGCATAGCATTCATCATAATTGTACTGCAGAAAGTGCATTTGATTCCACAGTAGGTTATGGTTGTTTCAGGGCTCTGTTGTTTCTTTGTTATTCTGCTTTTTCAAAAGCCTCTTGTTTGACAACGCTGCTAGTGACGTACAATACATGTATTTTAGGAAACATTGTTAGATTTCATTACAATAAAACACACAATAATTAATGGTTTAGCTCCATCTCCTTTGTAAGAATGTATTCATCTTAAGGACAATGTACAGTAGGCGCACAATCCAAAGCAGAGGCGACTTGCATTCCTTATGTGGGGGAAAACGTTTAAATAGATGAGTCTGAGAGAATAGCTGTCACCGCTACTATCACAAACCCTCCAATGTAACAGTTTGGCTCCTTGACACTGTTGTTTAGTTATTTCATGTGTTCCTTCATGCAAAGTGAAAACGGTTTGGATCATCTAATTTCATGTCCATTATGTTAGAGAGTGGCTCTAAACATTATTCTGCTATATCTGCCTTGTTTGTCTTGACAGAAATAAGACTTCATGACATGATCATCATATTTTGATGTAAACAACACATGCCCTTTTGCTGATGTGAGTGTTTTGGCATCTGTAGTGTGACCAAGCCCCGATGATCCAAGATGGCGCCCTATTCAAATGAATGGCTTGTGCTCAGTAGCGCATGGGACTTAATGGAGACCGGGAGATTAGCTTAACTTGACTATATTTGGGCATCGTCTGGTCCTCCCGGTTCTGTGCAGTGGATTATCTCCCATGATGCGTTGCGCTATCTCCCATGATGCGTCGCACCAAACGTGCGTGTGTGGCTTTCATGCACGCGCACAGAGGGGCTCGGCCGCGCTTTGACCAATCAGAGCTGCTCATCAAGAGCGGAGTCAGAGCGGGAAGGCAAGGAGCAGAGTTTGTGGCAGTAAAGTGTGGATTTCAAGAAAACCAAAGGATTTAAGAAGAAAAAAAGTTCAGGATGGCAAGGGACTCTATAATCCCCACAAAATCCGATCTTTATGAAAGATGTAGGTTCTCTGTCAGCTGAAGTCGAGCTGTTTTAGTTTACATTGAGTTCTATGGGACTTTTTCCGGGTAGCCCACATGAATTTAGTCTGCAGTACCACAGGCGCCCCATGTGCCCATAGGTGGGACAGCTGTAAGCTAGTAATACCCTATCCAGTTATTATTATAGATCCATGAGTTTGACCAGTCAATATTGCAGTAGCTCCTCTTACACCTGGGATGAAGACCAACAAGAGTGTGTTTTGAATACTTTTGGCCTTCCTTGAACTAAGTGGTCAATTTTCATGTCATGTTATGTACTGCTTATACTATTCATGTTATGGTCTTAAACTGTGTAGTTAACATTTTCTGTGCGGAATTTTGGAAACTTTTTGGTTTATGAGTTAAATACTTTGGTAAACCAACACAAGGCCCATTTTTCTCAACAAGGAAATCCACTATAGCGCCCACTCAAAAGTTGCATACACACAAAAAACTCGATACACTCATGGATCCAAGAATGTCAAAACTAATGTATATTATGTTGCATGTCATGAGCTGTATGTTTGTGTGCCTCCCTCCCGGACAGAATGGATGATGAAGAGGTTGCACAAGCTCAGCCAGGATGTAGTCAAAGAGGATCCACAGCATTTGAACAATATCAATAATTCACTCATTGGTCACTTAGGACGACCCGAGGGACACTAAGAAAAGCTGCAGCAACACAAAGCCCTTTTACCCAGGCTATTGTCAGTATTTATGTAACAAGATACAACCGTTTGCACTGAGTTAGCTCTTGACAGCGTCGTCAGCAATTGCTTCAAAGTAGTGTGGCAAAGTTGAAGGAGATTATCGGACGATCAAAACAACACATTTCCTTTAGATAAGGGCAGCAAGATTTTGGCAAAACATGTAATTGTGATATTTCTGACCATTTTTGATATCCTGTATGTTTAAAAAAACATACTCCATTTGAAATACACAGGTTTTTTAAGTAGGATTTTTAAGAAGAACTGCTATGTATTCTTTTTGGCCTTTAAAAACGATGTCATTCTCTGAAATGTCGTTCTATGTTTAGTAGTAGCAGTAGTAATCTTTATTTATATACCGCCTTTTCACTGCACATCGGAGTCTCAAAGCGGTTCACAATTGTTATTTTTGGGAGTGGGGGTGCCAGTACAGGAGGAACATTCCAGACCTATTGTACATATTTTTAGTGGTAGGGGAAACCGGAGCACCCGGAGGAAACCTACGCAGACACAGGGAGAACATGCAAACTCCACTCAGAAAGGCCCTGGTCCGACCGGGATTCGAACCCAGGACCTTCTTTTTCGTTTACAATACAATACAATTCAATTTATTCCTGTATAGCCCTAAATCACAACAGTATTCATCTCAGAGGACTTAACAAAACCATTGAAATCACCAACACAGATCAGAGAATCAACAGTTAAAACAAATGAAGAATATAGAACACATGTTGATTAATGTCCATACATGTTGTAGAATGTTAAAGTGTCCTGGATCATCAACACAGTCCTTCTAGTTGGACACTAACTGCCCAACTAACCCTCTTGCATCGGCAAAAAAAACTCATAAGAAAACCCAGTGTTTCAGAATGCAGAGGGAGGAGTTTTTTTTTTTTTTTTTTACTCAAAATGACCTGAGCAGTCTTTGTAACAAAACATAATAATTGCAGTCTTTACAGTTTGATAATTGCAACCACAAACATTATTTTGATGTTTAATTTTGCAGCCCTAGTTGAGATGTTTAAATGTTTCTGGAATATATCCATATTATTTCTCAAATTACTTACTTCCCCACACATATCATCTCTTATATGGCCACTAATGATATGATTGACAATGTTTTTCAATGTCTCTACCACGATACATGACAACTTTTATGCAACACATGAAACAAAACCAAAAACTTTGGTTCAACATGTGCAACATTTGCAATATTCAGTTTTGCCAAATGCAATGTGTCAGTGTCAGTAGTGTGCACAGTACCTGTGCGATGGCGATGGGATAGGGGCCAGGCAGATTCTCCTGCAGCCTCACAGGGTCAGGAGAGGCCCACGAGTTTCCAGTCACCTCCAAAATGACAATCCCAGTGGTGAAGAAAGCATTGGACTTCCCTGCCATGTCTTTGACCATCACTGACAGCTTGTAACGCCCACACATCTCCGGGTCCAGGGTCGAGGCTCCTGGGGACAGCAGCCACCAAGGACGACAGACATGTTATGATACAGTTCAAACTCCATGAAATATGTTCCTGTAAGGGCATTTTTTTGGCCTCTAACTGTCACATTGATTAAAATTTTAAGATATTTTCAAATGTTCTGGTAAAGTTTTTGTACAAATAATAATATAGCAAGCTTTAATTTCAGGTTAATTTGGCCCAGTATTATTTCCTAGTTGTTGATTTATAGCAACCAGGGCTCTTCAAATCATGTCCTCAAAATCAAAAGGCTGAGTGACTGCAGGTTTTCATTCCAAATAAGCAGACTTCACCCATTTCATCAAGGGACTCCAGTGTTAGCCTGAAGACTTGAGGGAAAGGGTGGAGTCGGGTGTGCTTCTGCTTAATTGGAATGATAACCTGCAGTCACTTAGTCCTTTAAGGACCGAGTTGAAGACCACTGGGTTAGACATTTTTATAGCAGAAAGAATCATCACATGCGCTATAAATGAACCCAAGACAGAACAAAATTATGTGTACATGTTTTTATTCATTTTTGAAAATCAATGTCAGTGAAAACAATTCTTAATCCTATCACTGGGCTTTCATTTCGGCACTTTATTAAAGGGAGTCCAGTTCAGTCCTTATGTGAACTTGCTTTGTCCCTGTACTAGTTCTATCTGGATTATTGGGGACTCAACATTTCTGTAGAATGTCATTATTTTTGTCGAAGCAGCAGATAATCAGGGACTGCTGATCATGAAGCAGTCCACAGCAGCAGTGTTGTGACACTTCTGAGGAGCATCAACCGTGAAAGTCATGCAGCTCCCGCCAAGCCGTTACAAAGGGCAACACCAGAGCCTGAAATAGCATCAGGACTTCCTGCATCTACTGTTCACACAACCACAACTTATCAAGCGCTTATTTAATGTGTATTTAAAGACATAAGAGCCACCCACCACGTACCACCCATCCTGACAACCTGACAGGTCATGCATGAATTTCAATCATGGCTTGCGATATTGTACCACAGGAATATTTGCTTTTATATACAAAACATAGACACTAGTTTTATTCAGCTATAGCAGCCTTATAACATATTCAAAGGAAAGTGAAGTCAAGTTTGTTTGTATAGCGCAGTTCATACCCAAGGCAACTGAAAGTTTGTTCCAGATTATAGCTGTACAAATCTGAAATGCTGCCCCTGCATGTTTAGTCCTGTCTCTGGGCACCAGTAGGAGGCCTCTACTCTCCACGGATTGAGACCGTTTCTACCTGCCCTGTTTAACCATTACTAGGTACTTTTTAAATACCTTCAATCCAGACCGAGCTGGTACTAAATGACAGTGATTGGCCAGAGTGCTGCTGGAAGCCATGCTTACACAGGAATTTCCCTGCATGGATACTGTGAGCATAATGGAAATGGAACCAGGTAAAATAGAGTAGAGTAGAGAAGAGAAGAGTAGAGTAGAGGGCTTGTGCAAACGGGGCTAAAGTTGGGCTTGTTTGGATGCGGTGGACAACCAGGGAAATATAACAATAACCATTTTTGGGGATTTTTTCTGACATGTTTGTTGTTTCTCCCCCTGATTACCCAGCCGCTGCCTATGCCTGATTCAGTCCCTCCTCCCAGAGCAGTGACTACACACTCCTCCCACTGCTGAACCCTCTTGTTCGTTAACATAAATATGTTAAAATAATGATCAAAATCTTGGTGATGGTGCAACAGTTACTGGTGGTGAAAGTTTGATGTTTGGGCCTATCTGTCTGGGGTTCGCATGTTCTCCCCATGTCTGCGTAGATTTACTCCAGTTGCTTTGGTTTCCCTACCAATAAAAACATGTACATTGAGTGAGTGAATGGTTGGTGGTCATGGTCGGAGGTGATTGGCGTCTCGCTTCTGTCTTCACCGCGTATCTCCAATGATTTGTAAGTGCTTTGTAAAATAGAACATCCAGAATTATCCATAATTACCCATTCACAAATCCTCACAGTATTCAGTTTGCATTCTATGGTTAATTTTCTGGTTGTTGGGGGTTACATTACTCATAGTAATTACTCATAGTAATGGAACTGAAGCATGTTCATTCATTACAATGCGCACCATAATAAATGAAATTACCAGTAAACAACAATAATACATATCATAGCGTGACTCTTTTTTGTTTCTCAGTCTTTTGCGTTCATGGTGTTGTATAATGTAGGAATCATTTGTGTTTCAGGCGTTACACAAATATAGTAAAGCACTTTTTGAAATGCACTATAAATAAAGAATACTCACTACTCAATTACGGTTAATCTCATTTTGCTCTTAACTGCCCGTTTGTTCTCAGTATGAAGGATAAAGCTGGTGGCACTGACCTTCTTCAGTCAGGCTCACTTCTCCAGACAGCGGGTCGATGGAGAACATGTGGCTGTAGGGGATTCTGGGAGTCTGCTCCAGGAGGCTGAAGCGCAGCTCGGAGTGAGGGGTGTTCCTGTCGTCACGGTCCAGAGCCTCCACCTGCATGAACGGGATCCCTGCAGAGGAGACACGAGCCAACGGGAGTGTTAGAAGTGATGTGGAACTGTGCCGTGACAAAGAAACAGGAAAGACTGTTTCATCAATCTGCATCTTGTAAGACAATCTGCAAATGTTTTTCACAGGAGCAGATAGAACATTAAAGCATTAAAACATTGAAATGTAGAAACTGATCAACAAGAATCAGAATCTCTTTTCAAGGTTTTCTTTTAATGTTTTGATTCCAAAGCGAGGAAAATAGAAAGTATAGAACTAATCTTAAAACCTGATTTGAAGTAAATAAATATTTGACTTAACAGAAATACACACACGTTTCATAGTGTATTCAGAACTATAAGGACCTGTAGAAGAATTAACTTCTCTTGAGTAATACAAATAATTAAAAAGACATAATTTCAGTCAATGCACTTCATGACAGATCAACAGATTTATGAAATACTGTTGTGATTTGTGGATCAGTCCTATTTGATATTGTTATGTTTTGTATTGTGCTGCGTTTTCTTCTGTTGAATGGGTAAGTAAGTATGTACGTAATCTTTATCCATATAGAGCCTTTTATAGACAAGAGTCACAGAGCGCTTTACATTTGTTGTGGGCATTTGTCCTGCACATACAGTATGGGAGTAGAGTTGCCATACAGGAGGCACATGCAAAACCTATATTGTAGGTTTTTATTGGTAACCGGAGCAACCGGAGGAAACCTATGCAAACACAGGGAGAACATGCAAGAGAGGGTTTGGGGATTATAATAGGAATTTTGTTCATCCCTTTTCAAACATTGCACAACGACAACGTGTTTGTGTTTATGTTGAAGTATGTGAAAATATATTGTGCAGGTTTGAAATAATTAATAGTAATATTTTTTATAAATGATAAATGTAATAACATAATATTTGTATAAATAGATTGTGTAATCTAATCTAAAAAAAAAAAAACTGTGTACCTTTGAGAAGCCCAAGCTGCACACTGCCTCTCATACTCTCCTGTATAAACGTGGGCACATTGTCATTCTTGTCAATGACAAATATCTCCACAGTGAAGCTCTGACGCTGCACTGAGGTTCTGAAGGACACCTGAGTGAAAGAAACGCACGTGTTAGCATCAACACAACATGGTTCAATAGTAATATTTGAAAGACTTTGAGTTGAGTGTTTATACTTCATGTTCTATGTACATCAAACATTATCATCAAATGCCGCTTCAGAGAATTATCTAAAATATCATTAATTAACAATGATGATAAAATTGTACATTAATCAAACTGTGAGGAAGAAAATACTCCTTTCAAATTTACCACCAATAACAAAACATCTTGATGATTGGAGCCAGAGGAAATACAAGTATTTGACACATTTTCAAAAACTACATATTCAGAAACTTACAAGATCCTCATAAAACCTAATAAAACAGACAACAAACATTCAAGATTCAAGATTCAAGATTAATTTATGTCCCGTAATAAATTAATTTTGAATCTTGAATCTTGAATGTTCATTCATGTATCATTCAATTATAAAGATGGTGATTAACACACCTGCAAGGAGTAAGAAGGCTGTTTTTCTCTGTCCAGGGGCTTTATGGCATATAGAAACTGGGAATCCACTCCAAATATCCCCTCATCATCCCCAGTCACGACCAGATCACTGTAGTTTGCAGGGAGGCTGTGAAGCTGACGTTTCAAAATAGGTAAAACCATACACATTTGTTAAATCCAGTTTGATACTGTAAAACCTGGATGGCCACAAAGTGCATAAATGTTGAATATCTCTTGGCTAATTTGTTCACTCCACAATGAATGCAATATGAAACTGTCACAGCGTTCTCCTCTGACCATCACTGAGCTATTTGAAGATTCTGAACGACACAAAAATTACTATCTTTAGAAATAAATGTGGTGATGTCAGAGTGTAAGTGCTGCTGGGTTTGTACAAAACAGCCTGCGATGTGCCCAAATGGACCAGAGGCAAAGGTTACGTGTGACGCCTGCAACATCTCTCTGAACAGTTCAATTATAATCTAGTGATGACGGCAGTGAGGGCAAGCGACATTGATTGATCCTGCGTCGGAACCAAACATACAAACACGCCTTCTTGTTTCTGTCTTTGATGCAAATGTTGAGGCAAGATAAGAGAAAAGTTTGTTCATTTAACCCTCTAGGCGCCACGGTTGACCTAAGACGACCATATGGCACTGTTTAAAACGACCAATTTCCCTGACCCGTGAGTGTGGTACAGTGTGAGTCTGTGTCTGTCAGTAAAAAATATGTATATATATATATTTCATTAAAATCCACGATTGCCACCACCATATGAACAATTTGAATTCCTGCATAAACTTTGGGCCATCCTCATAATATCTCTAATATACTGTACATAAAGCCTCTCTCTTTTCACTTTTAAATTATCAAGAAATTAAGATCAAAATTAAGCTTCTGAGGATAAAAACCTCTGACGCCTAAAGGGTTAAGAAGCAGAACCTACCTTGGCTAAATACCATGGGAAAATTCCATCATAGTTCTCAGGTACGCCAATCTTTACATTGGCTGCAGAGCAAGATACAAAAGCAATAAATATCACCTGTGTTACAAAAAAACAAGTGGTTATGTTTCATAGTTATGTGCAATAAGGAAAATTAGAATGACGTCTAAATATTCTCACTGTAAGAGATAAGACGGGCATCATAGGTCAGTCGTGTCTCTATAAATACAACAGAAGTTAAATTAACACTACTTTTACAGTCATCAAAAATACATATAGATATTTATTTATGAATGATAATGCAAGTTATTTTTTCCACCCATTGTTAGGGGGCTGTGTGAAGCCATTTTATTTTCAAATTCTTATGACAGATTCTTCTCAAATGACCCTCCTGAGCCTCCAGTTCTCATCTAAATTCTACACAACAGCATTTTGTGGTTGTTGTTTAGTTATTTAGAGTTGCCCAAAAAACTATGAGTTTTTGTGAATTCCTGGGCCGCCTTGCATAAACTTTTTCCCAGGGTATACTGTACATCTTTAATCAATTTGTAGATCGCCTTTCCCACACAAGGCAACACAAAACACCTCACCCTTAGGTTTAAAGTCTCTGCTCACAACCCATATCACATCATGCATAAATCATGAAAATATTAAAAACAGAGAATAAAATCACACCAGTCATTAAAAACCGCAACACATTGAAAATTACAAACATGATTGAAAGAGTAAATAGCCACAGTGCAATAAAAATAGTAAAGATATATGGCTTCAGACAACCACTAATAATAAGCGGGGGGAAAGTTGTTCTGTTATCATCGATGCTCTCCGAAGCATGGCTAAAACAACAGAATCTTTGACTGGTAACGTAAACTTTCAAACACAACTGTAAACGTTCCAACACACACTACAGAACAGCATGTATATACGAAGAACTCAAAAATATTTGATCCTTCACCGTTAAAACCGTTGGATTGAAACAGACTGAAATGCATGTGTATCCCTTGTAAGCTGACTATTGTGTTTCTTACCTTGAGTCAGGGCAGTGTTCTACTCCTGAGAGGTCTGAGAGAAGTTTTAATTGTGTGGAAAAACTGTGTTCTTGTAGAGCTTTGGTTGATTAATGTTTAACACTGTGGATGAAGATGGTTAACTACCACGTTTCCTGCCTTTAAAATCAGTGCTTTTGCCCAAATACATATGCATGGCTATGTTAACAAATGGGCTTTGGTGTTGTATTGTGCTCCGGGCGTTCACACATGACCGCTTTTTGGAAGAAATGGTCAAACATGGATTTCTCATTTTTATTTTATTGAAAAAAATAATTCAATGTAAACAAAGAAATAGCAAATCATGTCAAAGATCTAACAAAACAAACATAACTTATTGCTTTACTTTTACATTCACAACCTGAATTCGGTGGCAATGAACAAAAACAGAGCAGATTTGACGAGAGATTCTGCAAAGGCACGACCTGCGCACCACATTCAAGTAAATCTGACTGAAAATCACCCTGGCATCCGTTACGTGTTTTAACAACAATGAGATGTATGTTAAGCAGACATTAGCGAACAATATGTACAACAACTTCATTTAGAAACACCTCTATAGAATATGTCCGCCTCCCATATTCAAAACTACCCTTACGTGATGATAACACAATGAGAGCGATGTCTTAAGGCAATCCGAACAAAAACAAAACAAAAGACACAAAGCTCCATGCAGAATACCACTGCTTCATGATATGACTTATACGTTACATCAGACACAACTGTTTATTCAAGTCCACTTTTTGCTGTTTGGTGTCTAAAAATATAAATATATTTCTGTACAAGTCTAGTCCTTTGGGTTAGTGTTAAAACACACACAGGATCTGGTCTTCAGAGGCCAAAGAGAAAATGTCCGTCTGTTGTTGTGCTCCTCAGAGGACAGTCAGATCGTGGCAGGACTTGGACTTCTGCCTGAAGGCCATCTTTTTGTTTTTGCGTGCGACCATACGACCAAGGAACCGCTTGGCTTTCTTACTGATGCTTTCCCGACGTCTGCAGTTGGCCATGCGTCTGGCATTTTCCTCTTTGCTGTCTTTCCTCAAGCGGATCTGTCTGACAATTCCCTCAAATAAGGCTTGCACGTTGTGGTGGAGAGATGCCGACGTTTCGATGAACTTGCAATCAAATACCACTGCACATGCGCTACCCTCTGAAACAAAAAAGAAATCAATGAGACAATTTGAACACAGTCATAGCTGCTGCCCGGATTAGTGGAGTGGAACCAAATGCACTCTTACCATCTACTGACACCTCTCTGGACCGCACTAGGTCACTCTTGTTGCCCACGAGGATGATGGGAATGTTCTCCGACTGTCTGGCTCTACGTAGCTGAATCCGCAGCTCTGAGGCCTTCTCAAAGCTCGACTTGTCTGTGACGGAATACACAATAATGTAGGCGTCTCCCATCTTCATGCACTGCTCCTTCATCCACTGGCTGTTATCCTTCAAGAGGAGACAGGCGTGAAATTAGCCACAGAGATCACTTAAAAAGAGCTATTCTCATAAATCAATGTGAATGGTCTGAATGCATGAATAATAAATGATGCTTACCTGTTCCCAAACATCATAGAGAAGGATGGACGCCTCTTCTTCATCCACAAAAATAGATCTATCGTAAGTGTTTCCTGTGGAGATAATATTTCATCAGTCAAAGTGGTAGTACATAGAGCAAGCATTGATGGTGTGCATTGTATTTAGTAAGAAATTGTTGTACAAATTGGACCATTGTATCATTTGTGTGATGTGTTTGTTTATTGCATACTTCCCATTATGTGTATTTAGTTTTTCAACCTCTTATTTTTGGTGGGATCAGCTAACATAGCATATTCTGCCTGTTTTCAATTACAAATTATTAAATTTACATTACATGACATTAATTGGCACGTTCTACACATCAGCGTTCTAATTGCTCATTATAATTGCATTCATCTTTATCGAGTGCCAGTGACTGCATGTGGGCTGCTGAGGTGACTCAGAGCTTGCATCACTCATTACCTGCTTCGTCGCAGTCGTGACTTCCATCCTCAACTCCACCAAAGACGCGCGCCAGGCTGGACTTGCCCACTCCGTGCTCCCCGAGGAGGACCACCTTGTACAGCTGTGCGTCGGCCTCGCTGCCCGTGGAGATGACGGAGTCGGAGGAGTCGGAGGCGCAGCTGCCTCTGTGCTGCTCTCCGGGGGAGTACGAGGTGCAGCGGAGCAGGTTTGACAGCTCGTCCGTCTGTCCAGTTTGGGTCATCGAGGCGCGCAGGTCTCTGTCGTCCACGGGCATACTTCTCCTGTGAAGGTTGGGTAGATTCATTGGGAATGGCACACTTCCTCTCCTCTTGTCCATGTTCCTCAATTTGTCACCCTTGTTCAAAGTCATTGTTCTTTACTCCGAAGATCTATGAATAAAGATGCCATGCGTTAATAGTGCGTAAAACTATAACTTTGTCCTCCAGTAAAAGGTCCAATCGTGATAACAGATAAACAGTAAAATGCAGGAGAAGAAAGAAAAGAAAGAAAAAGGGGATCTAATGGTATAGGGCATTTAATTAGACTGTTACATGGCATCACATTAATATTATTACTATTCGAAATTACTACAAAACATGTAAAAATGGCACTTACATTTTTCAGGAAAATAAATCCCACGCAGAATCAAATAGTCCTTACAACGTAGAAATTTTATAAGAGCGCGTTTTGCTTTGGTCTGTTAGAGCCGACACTGGCAGTATTTATATCTGACTCGAGTGACGTAGGCAGGGATTCGCCCCAGAGTCACGTCTCCGCTCATTATAGTAGTGCGTAATGGTAACATCATAGAGTGGAGGGGGGTGACTGGAAGAGCTGAGGAATCTCCCTTCCGCAATGCCAAATGAAGCATGCATCTGAGGAGGCGTCTGGAGACATCTTTTAGAGGGAATGCCCACTTAAAGGGGCATTAATTTTAAATGTAGCTCTATGAATTGTTCAGATGACCTTGAGTTAGCCTTCCTACAATGTATATGTAGATTGCAATGTTGAATGTTGGGTGATGGCAGGATTATTGTAAATAAACACACCAAGAATAGAAAACATATAGTTTCACCATTTTGAGCTGCACCTAGAAACCAATGTGGTCATATCTTTAGAGCAAAACCCGCTCAAATGCATGAATCATAATGAACAGAATGACAAATTTGCAGCACCCACAAATACAGGCTGAATAGATTTTGTTCCCACCTCCAGGCAGACGTCCTAAACCGTGTTCATAATAAGCCTGATACATTTATATTTATTATGTTGTTGCCTATACGCTTTTATAAAATAGACACTCGATTATGATGAACTCGTAGTATTATTAAACATTCTACAGACACTTTTTTTTGTTGTTGCCAGAAACCATGTCATCATTATTTTTTAAAGCCAACGCACTTCAAAATGTCTGAAATGTGCAGAGAGCTTTATGAGACAAAAGCTATTCAGTAACAAACACATTTTCAGCATGGAGGAATCTATTTGATAAGAGTGATGATGCGCTGCTGCCATCTGCTGGACATATTGAACACTTTGAGACGTTGACGTTCTACATTTAGCGTACATGAAAATAAAATGTTTTAGGGTAAATAAAGATCTGATATCACCATGTTATTAATGGTCCAGGATCAATGTCAAAGATTTGTTTTTGTCTAGGATCAATTATTTATCGGGTTAGTACGGGGTAGCTTTACAAGTTCAGGGTCGAGTGTTGATTAGGTTATAGATACCTATATATAGACCTATACCAGGTTTGGTTATTGACAATATCAGATTAGGCAAATTCTAGTTTACTTGATTCAGCAAAGCAAAAAGGAAGGGAGTTTAAGCTATCTGAAAAATAGCACTATATGCCAATGACAATGTAATATCACTTTCATTATATATTTTACAACCTTGTTAGTACATTTTTGATAAATCTGATATTGTACCACGTACCTCTATTTCAATCAACAATTGTGATTGGAGGTGTTTGTAAAATTTACTTTTTTCAGTGAATATCGATGGATATGACATATTTTTCCACTCATGGTTCATGGTTGAGTGAAAATAATGCAACCAATTATGCTGGCCATCCCTGCATGTGAAAGCCCGATCCTGCAACATCTCAGCTGCTAAGCAGGGCAGGGCCCTGGTCAGTACTGTGATGGGAGAGATCTGGGGACAGCATGCAGCTGTAGATGGCTGAGGCTGTAAAGCTTATTGTTGTTGTGTCATTAGGCTTCCGTCAGTACCCCAGAGCAGCTATGGCCACAGTAATAGTTTATCACCAACTGGTACCAACTAAACGAATAATGTAATGTACAGCATCTTTGACTGTCCCTAAAAGCTCTTCCTCCAAATTTGATGCACTTTAATTGTAAGCAAACAAAGAAAAGATGAAAATGGGAATATACATTTTCCTTTGACAACAAATCCTAAAAGTCAACACATCTGATAAGTTGCTCATCGTTTATGTCCTACAGGATGCGATTTTCAAAAAAAAATAAATGAAAATAAAATAATAATTACTCCTAAGTTCATTTCACCACAGGTACAATTTATTAACTGGTTGTAATTATTTATTTTAGAGGAATTGTTACTGCGTGCGTTCTGCGTCATCAATAGTACGTGACCGGGAAACCGGAACAGACGTATTACAGTGCTGCGCATGCGTGTACCTCCCGTGCATTCGACCTTTACAACAAACCGGTGAGTGTTAATCGCAGCCGCTGCATTTATTGCTGAATTTGGTCAAATATTCCCCCGTATACAAATTCTTTACCCTATGCTTTAGCTGCACTGGAGTTAGCTGCAGATTGTCTTCACTTTGCGCCGGTTTCGGCCTTGTTGTCGGTGGATAGCGGATTGTGACCTTATGTGTGTGTGTGCCCAACATGGAACTCAATGTGCTTCAGCTGTCATGTTTGTGTCATATATACCCTGCTTTAACCCTGTTGTTTTGTCCACAGACACCAAGTAACAACCTGTTTGGGTGACCTGTGCAATCCTCTATCATGTATGCCTGCGCGAAGTTTGTCTCCACGCCCTCTCTGGTGAGTCGCCATAGATGAATGAAAAGCACCACGTCTTTAATTGATACTAATAGTTCATCCTTCAACATTCACCTCTACATTTATCTATTATTACTGCTGCCTTGTTATTGTATGTTACATATCAGCAGAACGCTTATAGTATTTTGAGTGTTCAGTTGTTATAATAGGGTATTGTTTTTAATTTATTTGATTTCACATGGCAAAAAACATCAAGTGTCTTCAATGATTTCTATTCATATTTTCAGGTCCGTGTTGGATCTCGGGCTCTGTTCAGGCCTCTGTCATCAGCAGTAGTGTCAGATGGCAGGAAAGGAGAGGTAAGGGTGGTGTGCCACATGTGTGACATTGAAATTATCATTTAAAAATATACCTCAATAAAAGTTACTTTCTCTTTTTACAGACAACCTCACTCCTACCTCAGAATTCTCAGCAGCAGATGGCAGTGCGTAGTTTCCAGACTAGTGCAGTGAGTCGTGACATTGACACTGCTGCAAAGTTCATTGGTGCTGGGGCAGCCACTGTGGGAGTAGCTGGATCTGGAGCTGGCATTGGGACTGTGTTTGGTAGTCTTATTATTGGATATGCAAGGTATAAGTTAGTTTTTGAGTATTTTTATTTTATTTGTTCAATGACTTTTGATTTGTCCCTAATCTTACTTTTATTCCCCCTACAGGAACCCTTCTTTGAAGCAGCAACTCTTCTCTTATGCTATCCTTGGCTTTGCTCTGTCTGAAGCTATGGGTCTGTTCTGTCTGATGGTTGCTTTCCTTATTCTGTTTGCCATGTAAATGGTTATGTGAAATGGGGATGAACATTATCAACAAGAACTGTATAAAGGGATTCTCAATGAATGTTGACTCCTGTTGAGTTGTTGCTAATAGTTGTTGACTGGTGTTAGAGGACTATGCCCTTCATAGCTGTGTAAAATCATAACAAACCAAAATCGCTTTTGATTATGGTCATGTTATATTGTACAATTTAATCTGTTTTGTTAACAAGAATACCACCATTGAGACAATTAAATATTTTATTCCTAAAATTGTGTGTCCTTTTATGAATGAATGCAGGTCAATTACTGAGTGCTTGTTAGGTTTAAGAACATCATAAAATTAAATCAGGGGAACAGACATTCCAGATGTCCACTATTTGTTTGAAGTACAGGCGGAACTAGTGATGTCTGGCCTAATTTTCCTACGGACTGAATAACAGGACACACATGCTTGACATTGCGCTGTTTTCTTTTTAAAATAATGGATCTATTATAACGACCTATTTTCATACATTTGTTTACAAGTGGTTTTGTCGAGGAATTAATCTCTTGTATTATACATGTTTTCGGCAAGATATAGTTGTAATATATGGAACAATGCTACGAATACACCCAGAAAGCAAGTTCTGTGTCGCCGCTGTCACAGTCCCCAGGACTCTTCTGAACTGAAGAAACATAAACGGACTAATGTACAGGTAAAACTGTTTAACAATGTATTACAAAGGAACGCCTGCGGCCTTGAATTAAAGTAGAACTAAAATGTTTTTAAAATCGCTTTCATGTATTTCATTTTTTACATAACAAAAAAAAAAAAAAACACAGTCTGCTCTTCTAACGTTATAACTGCGTGGTTTACTTTCCATCTTCAAAAAAGTATGGAATACAATTAATTTCTGCACTTCCTTCGTTCTCCACACGATGTAGCCATTTGTTAGTGTAAGCATGTAGCCATTTGTTAGTGTAAGCATGTAGCCATTTGTTAGTGTAAGCAACCCACTCTGCAAGATGCCTTTTGTGTTGACTTCTCCATTTACTTCCCCCTGAAAGCTTAAAAGAGAAAGGTCTCCATGTCAACCGGTGTTGAAGCATTTTGATCTGGAGTACAGTCAGGACCTTGGCCATCTGTGGACTTCAGCAAGGTAGTTGTACTAAATAATTTATATAACACTACCTATTTAATTGTATTTATTTATGTTTCAGAGAAGTTCTTTTGAACCCTCCCTCTTGGCAATATGGGGTCATGCTCAACAGATTCACAGCAGTGTCGAATATCGCTCAAACTCTAAAATCTCAGGGATTTTTTAGTGTGCTGCTACAGACAGAAATCTCATCTTTGCTGTGTAGAAAACCTCCACCGGAGTCTTTTCTGAAACAGCCTGGAGAAAATGGTTCAATGTTGTCGGCTGAGTGCTTCTCTGATGACTCTAATCTTCCTTCTGACGGAGGATCCCAGTGTCTGCGTTCAGAGCCACCACAAAGTCCTTTACTACACTGCTACATCCATCCATATCCTCTGAGATTTCCCTCACAAGCCCACAGACCCGGATGTTTAAAGCAGTATTACCTTCTGAATGTGGCTTCTCTTCTCCCTGTTCTGGCCCTGCAAGTCAAAGATGGGGAGAACATTTTGGATTTGTGTTCAGCACCTGGAGGCAAATCCATAGCCATAATGCAGAGCTGCAACCCAGGTAAACAAACCTCCTCACCTTTCACATTCAGTGTTTTGCATATTGTGTTGTTTGAGAGACACTCAATAATCCTATCAAATAGTTACTTGTTTCATTTTTCTTAACACTATTAACTTAATTAAGGACTACAAAACATGTTTTCTTTTGCAAACTTCTAAAAACCCTATGAGTCACTATTTGATGCTTTTGGCCTGAGTGAGGCTAGGCTTTTCTTATTCACTTTCCAGTCTGAAAAAGCTGGGAGTTGGGACCGAGGCCAAAAAATATGTGTGTGAAAACTAGTGATAGAACCAAACTGCTGTTAGATGGATCGGATTACATTGTTGTGCTTTAATCCTCATGATTTAGTTTTTTGTAGTCTCATACTAAACCATGTCAGTGCACCATTACATACTAAAACACTGCATCTTGTTCTTGTCTATTTTGTCCCAGCTCTTCTCTGCTGTAATGAACCGGATCCACACAGAAGGGATTGGCTGGTCAAAACCCTGCAGTCTTTTCTCCCCTCGTCACTAAACAGCTGTGTGACTGTTTCTGCAGAAGATGGGCGTTACTTTGGCCAAAGTGAACCAGCCAAATATGACAAGGTGAAAAGTCCTCTTATGAGTTGAGAGTTCACTGTTCAACAAATGATGGTTCCTGCAGCCTTTTAAAGCTTGTTGTTTGAAATATATCAAGCCTTTGAAATGTACCTAAGTCTCAGGGAAAATATTCAAAACGAGCCAAAGAACAAAGTGACTGATAATGGACCAAAATGTTGAAAGGAAAGCAGAGGGCGAGTGACCATACATACTGTGAAATGAACAGTGGGAGACTGTGTGGTTGAATATTAGCACCTAACAAATCTAATCACACATCTATCTGTGCTGCAAGTATTCAGTTCACACAATATTTAAGAGTTTGGATCAATAACAGAAAAGGAACGATTAAAGTAGTCACAATTCAGCTTTTGACGTTACCAGGACAACCAATGTCCTTTTCTCCAGCTAGAGAAATTGCATGCAAAATGTGAGAAAGGGCAAATGTCCCTAGAACCCCTACACCTTTAATATGATATCCAGTAAATCATATTATAGTCGAAAGATGCTGTATTAATTACAAGTCAGAAGAATCAGCAATCAATACTGCTTTCCTGTTTCTAATGTTTAATGAATTTACAATTGCAGACGCCACAATAGAGAATAAAGGGATAATAAACTGTATGTAGATATGCTAATAATGTATTTATTGTGTTGACCTTGGTGTGTGATTGCAATAGTTGCAGGGGGTAGTACTGGAAATGTTGTATTTTTCTCATTTGGGCAGGTACTGGTTGATGCGCCATGCTCCAATGACAGAAGTTGGCTGTATTCTGCTGGTGGCCTCCAGGCGGAAAAGAGATTAAGAGAAAGGACAATGCTACCTGTTCTTCAAACTCAACTTCTAAAGTAATCTCCTGTTAATCAGTCTTTTATGTATTCCTGTTCAATTTATTATTAAATGGCAGTTGGAACCAAATTACAATTTGATGGAAAAACCTAAGTAATCTAATGCTAATGATCTAAATAATGAATAACTACATTTGCAGAAGTTTGATATGCTACTTAAGACCGTTACTGCACCGTTTGGATTCAAAGAGAATTTGAAAGCAGATTGAAATAGTCCTCCTCGCTCACAGTTTAACACTGACCCGTCCTCACTGCAGGAAAATCACTGCTAACATTTTTCCTGTGTAGATCTGCGCTGTCAGCTGTGCGTCCAGGGGGCACTGTGGTCTATTCGACCTGCACTCTGTCCCGTGCAGAGAACTGCTCAGTGGTGGAGGCGGCGCTGAAGGGCTGTCCTGAAGCTGAACTCCAAGACCTGTGGGAGGAGCTCGCTGTTCCCTTTTCTCAACACTTTTGCTTCAGACCAAGCCAACACGATGACTCCCGACGAGGCATCTTAGTGGTGCCTCATCCTGGAAAGACCTGGGGACCCATGTTTCTCTCCCGCATTCGAAGGAAGATGTGATTATTTTTCTTTAAACATTTATTTGTACTTTTTATCCCTCCCTTCCATCCGTTATAATTCACACTAATTTAGGGCTTGAAATCATGAAAATATATTGTCAACTTTTCACCTGAATCCTCCACTGCTCTATTCAATCAAAACATATTTTCAGACTTTTACCAAATCGTACAGCAACAGAAACTGCTGCGCCAAACCTTTATTCAAGTAGAAAACATGCCTCTCACGTTGGCAGATACCGCCAGTTTAAAAGTACTGCTCCCGCTGTTGGTGCTGCCGGAGAATTTTTAAAAATCCGGAAAATACAACCTCTGTCTTTGCCTTTTCCAATAAAGCTCAATAGTTTAACTCTGCCAAGTTCCCAGTGGAAAATTTCACATTTCTTTCTTCCCCCAAATATATTTTGGGAATTTTCATATCTTAGATGTTAAAAGACTCAGGGAAGGCAAACCGGCAATGTGTCGTTGACCTTTTTCACTTATACTTCCAGAACCTCAAAGTGGGTCAGACATCTTTTATTCTTTTGTTTTTACACTAACAATAGCCACAAACAAAAAGTGCCCATGTCTAATACAATAAGAACATTTTCACCATTTGTAAAAACTCTCAACATTATTTTAAAAAGCTAAATATTTATTTTGCATAACATTGTTCTACTTCTTCCATTATATTCTTTTGTGAAATCATTTATGAAAATCTTTCTCTAGCCTTTTGTAACTTCCACAAATGCATTATATTAAGATTTGAGGTTTCCTGGAAATATAAGGTGCAATATAGATAAAATGTGTTTAATATGATTATTCCTATTATCCTTTATTCGTCCCGCAGCGGGGGAAATATCAGTGTTGTATCAAAAGTTACAGAATAGTAGAAAGGAGGAGCACACAAGATACATTAATAATAACTATGATGATGAAGAAACCAGGGATGGAATTAAAAACGTTTTTTCTGCCGTTTCCCTTTTCGAGTATCTGCAAGTGTTTCTCTTGTGTATATAATATAATTCCGTATTATGTAAATGTAACTCAGGGTTATTTATGCACAATTTTGGTATTCTACTTTTGTTTCTTGTACACACTAAGTTGCTCAAAATAAACATGGCTTACAATTATTATTATACTAAAGTAAAATAATAAAAAGATGTCTAACTCTAAGGAAAGAAGTCTAACATCTCCAACGTTAGCATGATGAAGGAGCAAGACTTAAGTACAAAAACCCTTTTACATAGTAAGGACAAAAAATTGAGTTTTGACTTTCTAGGTAAAGGCAAATTATGAAGATCTTAGAAAATCAAAAAAATCCAAGGCACTCGTGGTCAATAGTTAGGAAAGTTTAAAATACGCACCGACATTTTGCATCCTGAAGAAGGCCAATCTAGGCTGAAACGCGTTGGTGCGTATTTTAAATTACGGCCATGAGAAAATGAAGGCTTTTTAAACTCTCCAAACGATTGACCACGAGTGCCTTGGATATTTTTGATTTTCTAAGATCTTCATAATTTGCCTTTACCTGGAAAGTCAAAACTAAATTTTTTGTTACAAAGTTAAACCCCTATTCCAATTGAACACCTGGTCTTTTAAATAACTTTACACGCTTGTACCACGCAGCACTCCTTACCCTTTGTTTTATAAAGTGCTGTATATTCTAGAGCAAGTAGTAGTAGTAGTTATAACGGCAGTAAAACTAAAAACCTATAGCAGTCACATTATAATGAAATAGAATGATCTTATATATTTAATAATAGATTTGCCCATAATATTCTCACACTGCCCTGTTAAAGTATAAGTGTTAGAGCGTTAGTGAGATCTGTCGCGCTGAGAAATGACTCGTATAATCATTTTTGCGAGATTGTCTTCTCTGTCCCTCAATCACAGTCTTCCTCCAGGTGCTCATTGGTCCCCTTCATTTAATATTCGACAACCGCTTTCTGAAAGTAATCTTAGTGCTGGTGCCTGGATGAGCAGGTCTTTGTACAGTCTTGAGTATTTATAGTTGCAGTGAAGTGTAGCATTTTATTCTATCCTTGGAAAATGTGATTCAGAAAACTTGTATTTACTCCCAAGGGCTGCTCTTGTGCTTCTGTAAAACTAAAAATCACAAATAAAACAGCATCAATGAATAACAAGACAATCAGGGAGAGAATGGATGAAGAAAATCTCATCAAACACATTTCAGAAAGATTGTGTTTAGCAGCTTAATGACAGAAGGGATGAAATACCAACAAACCTGGTCCCTGGTGATGAGCAGGAACATGAGTGGCTTCGATAAACAAGACCAGACGTGACGACCGTGTGAATTCAAAAGAAATTAATATAGTCATAATGGATTTTTTATTTCCGAATTTGTTTCATATCCATATTTTTAGCTCCCCTGACACAAGGTTAACATGTACAAATCATACATGTTGGTGCATTGGTTAGCGCTTGTGCTTCAATGCAAGAACGTCTTGGGTTCCTACTCCGGATATGGCATTTCTGTGTGGAGTTTGCATGTTCTCTCTGTGTCTGCCACAATAAGAAAGTACAATAGGATAGTGAATGGATGGTGATGATCCCGATCCCAGGCTTCGATGCGTCGGTGTGTTGTGTGTCTCGCTTCTGTTATCACCGTATATGAAGTGACTGGATAATATCGGTACTCCAAAAGACAAGGAAAGTGATTTAGTCTGTGAAATGCGCTTTATAAAAAAAGGTTACTTAAATCTGGTCTTTTCTGGTCAATATGGCAGTCAATATATAGAAAACATCAAACAGGTTAAGACAAGATAAGATTATACTTTATTAATCTCACATAGGAGAAATGTGTGTTTAGTAACTTAATGACAGAAATTAGAAAAGACAAACTTTCACTTTAGAAATGCCAAATCAACTAATATACAGTACTTATTATTTCAGATTGTATCATTAATTTTAATTATCATTATAAATGCACTTACTTTGTACACTAATAACACATGTGCGAGGATAAACAATGACCATATGTACAATCCGGCGCGTTGTCACCAATATATTTACCAATTAATCAGTCAATGCAGGTACAATGTATGGAGGACCAAAAATGACTAAAGTATAAATAAATAAATAAATACAGGAATATATTAATAAATACATTCATTTTGGACAATAAAAACTAAATATTTACATTGATGTGTTAAATATTACTATGAAATCAAATAAATATACTTTTATTTAGGTTATTTATCAATATCTACATTTTTTCCTTTATTTATTTATCCATTTATTGCATATATTTATTTATGTATTTCTACATTTCTTCATTTATTTATTTATGTATTTCTACATTTCTTCATTTATTTATTTATGTATTTCTACATTTCTTCATTTATTTATTTATGTATTTCTACATGTCTTCATTTATTTATTTATGTATTTCTACATTTCTTCATTTATTTATATATGCATTTCTACATTTCTTCATTTATTTATTTATGTATTTCTGTGTTGCCGTATGCTAATTAGGTGGGCGGTGCTGAACTCAATGATTGGTGGGCAGTAGGGCAACCAGACAGAAGCAAAGTTAAGCCTAGCGTACATCGACAGAGAAACTGGGGACAACTAGTTTCAAGGCGGCTTTTGGCAACTGAGAGGAGATGATGGAGATGATCAGTTGCTGAAATCGGTCGATGTGCGCGCTCTTACAACTGGAGATGAACAGTCGGTCTCCAGTTTCAGTCAGTTGCCCGTGTTCTACTTTTCGGCAACTAGTTGTCCTCAGTTTCGGAGATATGACCCGATGTGCGCGCTCCATGCGCCGCTCCGACAACGTGTGTGTATTGCGTGTATTGCGAGCCCGCAACAGTTTATGTCAGAAAACACACTGTAGTTGAGGCCAGTTGCTGTCGATGTACGCGCTGTTATTCCCGAGACTGGTCTGCTGCTGGGAGTTGCCCGTTTTCGTCAGATTGACGATGTGTGCGGGGCAGCAACTCATATGCGACGAATATAATCAGTTACCAGTCCGATGTACGCTAGGCTTTAGCCTTCTCGGTTTGTGAGAGGATGTGAAGCTGCTGCTTGTTGAAGAGCGTCCAGCACAGCTGCATCAAAGTCTACCTCTGGGTCAGCACTGTGATGAACTAAAACATTTAATAGTCTTTCCAGCCGAAAGAGTAGATAGTCCTCAGGTGCATTATGCTCAACATCATTAACATCATTTGCTAATGCTCTTAATTGATGAGCAATGGCTCCTAAAAAACTTACATTCGAAACTGCCATCATACCACACAAAAGTGCACAGAGGATCTCAAGCTAGAGGCAGGAATGATCATGGATCTATTATATTAACTGGATAGGGTATTACTAGCTTGTAGCTGAATAACTCATGTGCTCAGGGGATTCTCGCGGTACTGCAGACTAAATTCACGTGGGCTACCCAGAAATTTTCCCCATAGAACTCAATGCATATTAAAACAGCTCAACCTCAGCTGACAGAGAACCTACAGCTTTAATAAAGATCGGATTTTGTGGGGATTTTAGTGTCCCTTGTCATCCTGAACTTTTTTTCTTCTTAAATCCTTCGGTTTTGTTTAAATCCACACTTTAGTGCCACAAACTCTGCTCCTCTGGCTCTCGCTCTAACTCCCGCTCTGATGAACTGCTCTGATTGGTCAGAACGCGGCCGAGCCCCTCTGTGCATGTGCGTGAGACCCGGTGTGAGACCCACACACGCGTGTTTGGCGCAACGCATTATGGGAGATCATTTACTGCGCAGAACCGGGAGGACCAGACGATGCCCAAATACAGGCGAGTTTCCCATAGATCTTTGCGAGTTTCAGGCAACTTCCGCTAATCTTTCAGCCCCCATGCCGTCACAAAGCGCCACTGAGCACAACCATTCATTTGAACAGGGCGCCATCTTGGATCGCCGGGGCTTGGGAATGATCGAGACCAGAGTTCACGCAATCCTAACCAATCCTGTTCTAGATTGAGTTCAGCACCGCCCACCTAATTAGCATACAGGAACACAGAAATACATAAATAAAT